GCGTTCATCGATCCACCGTCCATCCAGATAGATCAGACAGCAGCCGGTAGTCTTGTGTCATATGTGTGTACCTATGCCTGCATGTATGTATGTATGTATGTAGGTAGGTAGTATTTCTGGACGTATAGTCCGCAACCGGGCCAACTATAAAGCCGACTCTGTTCGTTTCGAGACCGGGTGCCTCTTTTTCCGGCCTGAGTGAAGTTGGGAATATGCACCGACGACCGAGTAAACTACGTGCCTAGGTCCTAGGTACTCACTTGTGAGGAAACATATGCGTTGGTGTAGAGTAGAGAGGTAGAGAGGTACCTACCTAGGTAGGTAGGCATCTATGCACTATCTCAACTCTAAACTCGCCATGTCGTGAGATCTTCACGGTAGACACGTTACTTCGTGGTGAGGAGAACGGCCGATGGACGGATCGATCGAATGGACGGATGGGTTGGTTCCTAGGCATCTATCTAGGTATACCTTATGTGTGTGATGATGCTACTACACTCATCTTAACTATCGGAAGTAACAATGATTACACTATTTGACTAACGCACTTACTACCTAACCAACCCTAACCTTCGCAACAACAAGTATGGTACGGTATAGGGGATAGGGGATGGAAGGAACGACGCTTTGTCTCCTTCGCAGCCTACACTAGCACTAGTAGAGTCGTCTCACCATCATCTACGTTGCTGTCATGATAATACTAGGTAGGTATGTTACCTAACCTTAGTGCGTGGGGCATCACCACTCTCAACCTCCTATCCCTCATCCTCGACCCCTATTATCGCAAGACATGACGTCGAAGTCACGATAGATACCTGGCCACGATGTCTATCTCCACTCACCCAAAAGAATCAGAAAAGCCAAGTGCCGAACCTAAACTGTGCCACTCGCGAACTGCCTCCCTAGGTATGTAACCTACGGTAGCTGTACGACAGGTAGGCATACCTAAACTTACCTACTATGTGGTAAGTAGGTAGTCGAAATAGCATCGTACCATGACAAATAATCGTCGGGCAATCAGGGAGGCAAAGTCCCTATGGTTTAACATTCTAGTTAATAGACCCCTCCGCGCGCGTAATTCGGAATTCGCCCTACGAGCAAACCCAATAATTTCCATCCTTCCTCCCATCCTTCCTCTAACCCTTCCTACTTGCTAGGTATACTATGCCAAACATGTTGACCGCCGCATACCCACCTTAGTAACCTTAGGTACCTACCTAGATTTAACTTCAAATGCCTGTTGAACAGATCGTACGGAGATAGACAAAGTGGTTGCATTAAGGCCATGGACACCTACCTACCTACCCTAGGCACTTACTTTGATGGTGGACATAGGCAAGTTACCCGTTTCCCATCTCCTCGCGCGCAAGAGCTCACCAATGACATGGCAGACAGACAGGGGCGCGCCACCCCCCCCCCCTTCCCCCGATCCTTCGCGCTTCCTCCGCCCACATCCTCTTAATGATCCTTTTCAGGGTGTTTTTTTTTTTTTTACGGGCCCCTTCGACCCAGAAGAAAGACTGGGGATAACTACATGTGTAGAAAGGAAAATAAAGTAATTATGATATAACTAGGTAGTAGAAGAAAGCGTATAAGTGGCCAATGACAGCCCGCGGCGCAGGCCCGGGGGAAGAACGCGGAATCGGGTATGTATTGTACAATACCTACGGTATTGCCACGAGGGATAACGTGCCGGACTGCGGATAGTTACTTGGATATTATCTAAGTATGTAGTTAGGGTAAACATCCCGCGCTTTCTCGATTACTTGCTTGCTTGCTTCCTTAGCTAATCTGGCCTCAAACCGAGCCCGGATGGATGCTCGGTGAACGCCGTCGCGTTGTATGATCGCCTATCTAAGTACCTAGTGCCTAGTAATTGTTAATATTTTTTATTTTTTTACACTTGCGGCTGGAGCCGGTATATGCGATAAGATTGAAGGTTGATATACGCGGAGAGAGGATGGAAGAGGAAAAAGAAGACGGAGCCCTTCCGACGTATGTGTGTTGTGCTGTGGCGCGCCGTTTCCGCGTCGTCACTCCTCCGCTCCCCGTCGTGGGATGGGGATATTGCTATTGAAAAGTTCCTGTCGAAACTAATCACTAATCGCCAGGTCTTTCTTTCTCGGGCCACGATCAGGCGAAACAAGCGAAAGAATCGCAACCAAACGGATGTTCGTGACGGTTGTTTCCTGTGGTTGTATCTTGTATACCTACCTACCCAGTACCTATCGTTCTATTTTTATCTGCAAACCCCAAGTTGTTTCGCTTCATATTACTACATAGGTAAAATGCAGTAGGTATGCATTCTACTCTTTTCATTTCATCTCATTTCACATCCCCAGTCTCGCTGCTACCCCATAGGTTTGCTGGGTTAGGGCTCTTTTTTTCTTCTCTTGGACTGTGCTGAGCTGAGCTCAGCGCCGGTCTGGGCATTTTCCAAAATAGGGAGCGTTTGATGGAATTGATTGAGGCTCATGCGGTGTTTCAGAAGGCGCATGTCGCCCGCCAAGTTGCAGCGCGGGTCTCGCCTGTCTTGTCGCAAAGCCGCGGGCAGGGCTCGTCGTATTGCGAGGCCAACGAGGGGCCGGCATTTGTGCCGCAGAGTTAGCTAGGTATCGTGCCAGTGGCAGGTTCGGATGAAGGATCGAAGGGCTGAAGGAAGTTAATTGTTGTATTTGAAGGAAGAGAAACAGCCCTAGGTATACATACATGATGGGATCGTTGACGTAGGTAGGGTATGTAGGTATGTACCTGGTGAGTTTCATATAGCTAAGAAACATATCTGACCACCTAGTAGATCAGGTACAGGTATCTATTTCTGTAGCTGTAACACATGAAGTACCTCTTGAATAGATTCTATGTTGAAACATCGGAATTCGGCCAATCTTGTCCAGGTTAGGGGTTCTCTTATGAACCGGCATTTGAATCATGGGCCCTTCTCTTGCCAGGATCTCAGATCTAATTAATTTGATATCGTATAGATCGTATTTCAGCCTATAGCTTATAGGTCTAGAGAGTGTAGTAACTAGGTACTGGCTTACTAAAAAGGGGGACGGTAAGATATATCCGGTTTACAACTATAGGAATACTACACTTGTATATATACTAGTACCGGCGTAGGGAGTCCAGATTAGAGGCAATATAGAAGGATTAACAGTATGTACATTACAACACAGTGGCATGCCTCAGCTTTCGGATTGAATGCCCGTTTATTCGACCAGGTCCGCCGACCACCTCCGATAAAACCGAAGGTAACAGACGACGGTGTGCTTCATTACTTTTGCTAAACCTCAAGGTGCTATTATCTAAGCACGCTTGTGATAGTTCTCACAAGATGGAGCGTAGAAGACGTAGATCGAACACCATTGTTGCGCGGGGAGCTCTGACATCTCCCCGGAGACTATGGAGACTACAGTCATCTTTGTCCTAGCTAACTCCCAAGTTGACCCTTGTACATAGAAACAGTGAAAGGACGACATAGTGTTTACATATGCCCAAAGAAATAGATATAAATAGACATTCTGCACTTCACCCAACCACGAAGATGGAGGTGCTTGCAATGAAACATCTAGTCTCAAATTAGACGAACATATCTTCGCCCCTTTCTTGAACTTCCCTCCAGTGAATGCCATTACTAGGACCTATGTAGCATGTTTTGTTACCGGCTTGATCACACAAGTTCCGCAGACATGTCCAAAGACATGTATTCTGCCAGAGGGGTCGTACGTATCGTTGCCCGCTGACCTTCACCCCTATCACCATAATCTAGACAACAACTCACCTAATCCTAATTGTTATTTGTGATGTTAGGAAACTGAATAGGTAGTAATGAAGGAAACAATCGCTATTCCACAAGAAGACAAGTAGAGTACCATGACACAAAATATTCAAAAGGAAAAGGGGTTGGCTACTTGCGCCAAGTTTGCCTGGGCAGGTACCTATCTACTGTCAATATATGTATATTTTCGAGTTGAGTCTGTTGTCTTCTTATGGCGTCGGATGATTTGGAAACCTCGGAAGAGTAGATTGGTTGATGATTAGCATAGGGGTGTCGTGTTCGACATCATCCAGCGTCATAGAGACTCGTCCATACATGTCCAGGTATCCTTGGTAGGTAACGCTACTCTGGGAATGAGCTCAGATACCTCAGGCCTACAAGACTCGTCACGGACTGACGGGATGAGCCAGCTGTGACCGAGTGACCACCGCAGGAAATGTGCGCTGGACATGATCTTAGAATAGGTAGTTATAGCATCGTGTATGCCTTCAAAGGTTTGGTATGTAGGATACACTGAAATAAACTTAGCCTTCTCCCATTTTACGAGATGACAGGAGTCTATACGTACCTAGTATAGTACTAGAGTAGCTCTACACCTCTACACGCCGCATACCACTATGGGAGTTGTAAGGCTAGGGGGTCCTTCCTACTTGCCACAGCGCGAAAAATACCAGCGAACCAGCCAGCGAACCAGCCAGCCAGCTAACCAATCAAGCTACTCACTCTGGGAATCCAAATAGTCTCGTGCTTTCGTCAGTATGCTAGATGATACGGCAACTGCCTGCCAGAATTCGATATCGGTGTCAATTCGTCCCTGCATGATACTCATCTACGAGCATCGTTAATTCATGGCGTATATGAAGTCTGTGAGAACAGTGAACTTCATGCCGTGTTGAACTTTCAATGGGAATGGCCTCATGAGGGGCTGCCTCAGTGGTACGCTCCAGGTTGGTACCTATGGGACGGTGTACTGATATACTGAAGAGGTGTCTGCATAACACGAAAGTCATCTGCCTCACGAAACCCCAAAGAAACGTCGCATCTAAGAATAAAATAGGGGTTTATTTAAGTTTTCTCTCTTGGATATCTCATGTCGGATCAAATCGTAACTACCCCACGGGCACTCCATCGACCTGTACTAGCAAAGGGCTAGCACCGTCAAGAATCATATTCGCCTCCCAAACTCATCACACGTTTTCTCCTTGCTTCTACAAGGTTAAGCTTACGCCCTCTCGATCTCCTCCAAGATAGCCTTCTCCAGGCTCTCCGGCTTCGTAGTGCTAGCCCAGCGCTCCTTGACCTTGCCATCCTTTCCGATGAGGAACTTCTCAAAGTTCCACTTGACGCGCTTCATGCCGAGGAGGCCAGGCTTCTCTGCCTTCATCCACTCGAACAGGGGGTCGGCGTTGTCGCCGTTGACGTCGGTCTTGCCCATGATGGGGAAGGTGACGCCGTAGTTGAGCTGGCAGAAGCTCTGGATGTCGTCGTCGGTGCCGGGCTCCTGACCGCCGAACTGGTTGCAGGGGAAGCCGAGGATGACGAAGTCGTCCGGGTGCTTCGCCGTCACGTCCTTGTACAGCTTCTCTAGGCCGGCGTACTGGGGCGTGAAGCCGCATTTGGAGGCGGTGTTGACGGCTAGGACGACTTTGCCCTTGTAGTCAGCCATGGACTTTTCAACGCCCTTTTCTAGATATGTGTGTTAGTCATGGGCTGAATTGAGGTAGCTAACTCTGAGATAGGAATAAATGGAGATACATACTGTCTTTGGGCTTGAAGTCGTAAAAGGTAGTAGCAGATGCCATCTTGTTATTATTGCTGGTACAGTGAATGTATCTTGTTTGAGTTGCGCAAGTATTATTTGTTGATGAAGTTGCAATCGCAAAGGTGGTGATGTTACTATTGATGGCGGGGTATCTTTTTGGTGGGCTGAGGTTGGATGAAGTCACTTTGCAGGTATGATGATTAAATATGGAAGACGAAGGATGCCAGCTCCGTAACAGGACTTGTCTCATGAATGCAACTATGAATATGTATATAAATATAAAATGAAATTAGGATAGATTCTTCTTTTCCATTCCTTTCTTCAATGTTAATTCATGGAATGTTGAAGTGAGTTAGTCAGCTTTTTTAGTTGATGAAAACCTGCACTAGAGGCCAAGTTTGAGATACCTCGGCAAGTTCCCGATCCGAGTTTCTACAGTTTCGATGCGGGCCAGTGCGGACAGGCGGGTCTGTGACTTGGTGGGGTCTTTTATGTAGTTATTCACCAATGACTTCAATGTTGCTAACTTATGTAATGACATGGGTCAGATACAAGTAACTAGGTTACTAATGTCCGATTACGACAAGTTGTACGAACTATCCGTATCCTTAGGTACATGTAGGTAGTTATTGCCTGATTAATTGAGATATCGTGCTATCCCTAACGCATAACAGCTACGCTATAATCTTGTTAGAACATTAATAAAATGACATACTCTCAACCTACCCCTCCTTCCATCATTCGATGTCCAGTTTCCAGATAACTAAAGTCAAAAGCATAATCCCTGTTAGAGATACTTACATAATAGTACCTGTATTATCGCAAACGGATAGATCCGTAGTTATGTAGCTTGAGTTTGCGTAACCAACAACTCCAACAACAACAAATTTGACTCTTATTAGCATGTGAACATTGAAAATAATTGCAATCATCAACCCTTCATGTAAATAATTCAACACTAAACAAAGGTACTTACCCTTCAAATCATCTTAGCCTCTAATTGACAACCCCTGAGTTCGGTCATGTCAAATACATTATTATGGACAGCCGTATACCCCAACCACGACATATCGTGATCATAGGTGAGTATGTTCTCCCCTCACTTACCCTCCCCCAATTTATATAGACCTTCCATCCCCGGTCCATGTACCTGGCTGGATCCTCACACACACGCACCCACTCAGAAAAGACACAAACAAGCCTCTAAGCCTACCTAAATCGGGCTAGGATGTAGCTTGGAGAGCACCCTCCCGCATTACCACATATGGCGCCCTAGTGAGTATGACAGAGCCACTAACTTCCCAGGGGGTGGTGTCATCGGCACTACAACAGCATACTATCTCACCCGACATCCCTCCTACATCCCCGCCATCCACCACATCACCCTCCTTGAGGCCACCTCCATAGCCGCCGCCGCATCAGGCAAAGCCGGCGGTCTCCTCGGCCTATGGGCCTACCCGGCCTGTCTAGTCCCGCTATCCTACCGCCTCCATGCCGAACTCGCGGCCGAACACAACGGCGCCGCAAACTGGGGATACCGGCGGCTGGGGTGTGGGCAGATCGCCGCGACGGTGAAAAAGCCAAGCTATGGTTCTTCCACTACCGCCACTAAGCCGCGTAGGAAACGGAGCAGCAGCAGTCTCGGTCCCGGCCTCGGCCTCCCCACGCCGCAAGACGATGATGGACAGCAAGATGAGCAGGACGAGCAGCAAACGGAATGGCAGAAGCTGCCCAAGCAGGACGCGAAAGCGAGCGCCCTGCTCCACGAGTCCGTGCTGCCCGCAGACCTCGACTGGATTGACGGCAGCCTTGTGAGCGAGTACGCCGAGATGGGACTCCCGGGTTACACCGAGACAGCACAAGTGCATCCCTACCAGTTCACGACATCGATCGCGTCGCTCGCGCGCGCAGGCGGCACCGAGATCCGCCTCAACGCCAAAGTGACCGCCATCGGCCTCAACAAGACCGACACCGCCGTCTCCAGCGTCGCGTACCTCGACCGCTCCACAGGCGAAACGCAGACGCTCGAAGGCGTGACGGACGTCGTCCTCGCCGCGGGGCCATGGACAGGGCGCCTGTGGCCACGCACCAAGATCGCGGGCCTGCGCGCCCACAGCGTCGTCTTCGCCGCGCACGTCAGCCCCTACGCGATCTTCACCGACATCGCCCTCCCCCCCGACTGGGTCCCCGCGCACCGAGCCCTGCGCGGCGAGAGAAGGCGCAAGCACCGCGGAAACGTGGACCCGGAGATCTACGCGCGCCCCGGCGGCGAGGTCTACGCGTGCGGGGAGCCGGACTCGCTCGCCCCGCTGCCCGAGACCGCCGACGCGGTGGAGGTCGACGACGCGCAGTGCGACGACCTCGTCGCGTACATCGGGACCGTCAGCCCTGTTCTCGGCGCCGCGGCTGTCGCTGCCAAGCAGGCGTGCTACCTGCCGCGGCACGTGCGCTTCGGCAAGGAGGAGAGCCCGCCGCTCGTCGGGCCCGTTTCCAAGGTCAAGAGGCTGTGGGTCGCGGCGGGGCACACGTGCTGGGGGATTCAGAATGCACCGGCGACGGGGAAGCTGATGAGTGAGTTTATCTTTGAGGGCGAGGCGAGGAGCGCGGATGTGGGGGAGTTGGATCCGAGGAGGTTTAAGGTGTGAGGTGTGAGGTGTGAGGTGTGAGTGGCGTTTGCTAAGGAGTGGTGGGCTGAAGTGAAAGGGGAGGAGGGAGGGAGTGTTGTTGGGGGGGTGGGAATGTGGGGAGGGAGGGAGGGGAGGGGTGTGGCTTCAAAGACCTTGGGGGAAATTGTCAAGATATGGATACGGAGAAAGGGGAAATGAGAAAGGGAAAAGAGGTGGGAAAGTCTAAACTCGAAACACACGGAGACGCGGGATATGACGATAGAAGGCGTGGGATGGCGGGATATCATTCATGTAAGGGGCTAAGGGAGGCCTCGTGCGTGTGTGTGTGTGGGGGGGGGGGAGAATGTATATTTGTCCGCGTGTATGTATGTACTGTACTATGTGCCCATATGCCGAGCTAGTCTATGCGTGTAGGGACTACACTAGCAAGAAGCTACTAATAGAGATGGGGAGGGAGTACCTGGTATCGGTACATCCCGCACGCGATGATCTCCCTAGCTACGTAAGGGGGGCGGAGGGGAGGGAGGCTGAACGGGTACTAGGCCTTGCGTGTGGGGTATGGGGTCTATAGTACGTACTTGCCTAGGGAGATATACTAGGTACCTACCTAGTAAACGTATGCGCGCGTATGTATATGTGCGCATGTGAAGCACACCTGAGCATAGGTATCTTAGAATGAACAAAGGGGAAGGCTAAGGGGGTTAAGATATCACGGCCCAACCCAACAGAATCAACTAACATAAACCGCAAAGAAATAAAATAAAAATAATTGCTTTATATCTCGAATATGCGTGATTCCTTTTCTTTCCCTTTCCTTTTTTTTCTTTTTTTTTTTGGTTCGCTTCTCGCTAGTAGTAGCCGATATGGAAAAGATCAGAGCTATCTACTATACTACCTACCACTACTGCTACGATGTACCACTACTACGAGGTACAGAATTAACCTCCACCAGCCGCCACCGCCGCTGGAAATTTCGGGTTGGTTCAAGGTTCACGTGGATCTACATACGTACCTAGGTAGATAGTAAGCAAGCATGTGTATGCATGGTTCGACCTCAAGGGACGGGCCGAGGGGACTCGGTAGTAGCTCTTACTTGCCTAGGTGTCAACGCGGAGGGCATAGGATCCTCGTGGTATGTATGCAGGTATGTATATCAGATCAGCATTCCCAGTTACTTCTAAAGCAAGGAAATATCCCGAAGACCCTAGGTTAGACACATGACTGATCTCCAGCGCTCCTAACGAGACGTCTAGACGAAAGAAAGGATGGAAGCTACCTGCCTAACCAACCTACCGTATCTACCAACTGATCTACCAACTGGCCTGCCTCCGAACCAATCCATCCGCCCAATCCCAAAGCACGAATTATAAAGTAATACCCTCAAAAGCACACCCCAAGAAAAGAAAAGAAAAGAAACGGAAATAAGGGAGAAAAAGGCGAGGTTACGTGGCCAGGGTCCAAGGTAATTAATATAAACGACGCGCCACGCATGCTACGCATACTACCCAGACTGCGGATCCTACCCCTTTTCTGCCGTTTGTGTAGATCAGCTGGCCCGTCTACGTAGCTATCTGGCCACCTACCTAGCAATAGAAGGTTTACAGAAGGTCGTGTGGAAGATATGTTTCTTTCGTTTTATTTCACTGATAATGACAATATATTGTTATGCTAATGAAAATAATAGAAAACGTGTTTAGCTGTAGAACCGTACAAGATGGTGCTTGGCTAGATCGGAATATGGTGGCAGCGCCCGTCAACTTCTTTATCCCCTCCTCTGAAGACAGTTCTTCATATAAAAACCCCTTAAGCACCTATAAGAGGAACCGAAAAATGGTGAATATCAACGAATGGTCCTGAGAATTTACTCAATATCTGACAAAGAATCAGAGAAAAGTGTAATGTCGTCGAAGGTTTCGTGAAACGTAGTGTGCGTGCTGTGTGACCTGTGACCAATCTAACCGTTACGTCAAGGGGCCTGGGCCGATCATCAGGAATGGGGAAGCAAGCTGCGGCGTGCTTCTTGACCCTCCAAAGAGCCTCATCCGTCACCCCGGATTTGAACCCCGCATTTTTCTAAGAATACCTAAGGTAGGGCATCAACAGCCACGCGGCTAATATCGACGGCATATAGCCAAGTCCCCGTAGGTTGGATATACCATGTTCCCGGTAACCCGTTTTCCTTATCGTTACAGTGACTTTTCAATCTCCATCACTTCCCGTATTCCTTCGGCGATAGATTCCACCTTGGCCTGCTCAAGGCGCTTGAGCGGTCGCCGAGGGTAACCGCCATAGCCGAAGTAGCTCTGAATGGCCTGTTTGGTGCCCGCAATGGCCGCCTTGGTTAATAGCCAATCGGCTCGGGAGAGCTTTTTCTGCAGTGCGATGGCTTCCTCCGTCTTTCCCTCGGCGTACAGGTTCCATACCTTAACGCAAACCTTAGCCATAACGTTTGCGCCTCCTGCAATGATTCCGCTACCACCCGATACCAATGTTTGAACAGTAAAGTCGCATATGCCGCCAAAAGCCATATATCCACTGCCCTCCGAAGCTGGGGTCTTCGCGTTGGTAGCTAGCGCAACACGGGTAAGCTTACCAGTGCTACCGCACGTGAATTTGGTTCCAACGATGTTAGGATGCTCGGCAAGCTTGATAATAAGGTCCGAGTCCATGTCGATACCGGCGACCGCACCGGGGTAGTTGTATAGAACGATTGGTAACGGACTTCCATCTGCTACAGCGGTATAATAACCAACTATGGCCTCTTCGTCCATTTGGGCACGGAAGTAGCTTGGAGGCAATAACAATACGTAATCCCCACCAACTACCTCACACTGCTTGCAGAGTTCAATGGTTCCTTTTACGCTTCCCTCTGTAGCTCCAACAATGATGGGCGTGGTAGTAAACCCAGCGGCATCCAGAGCTTCTCTGGTAGCACGTGTCACTGCCACCTTCTCGTCACGAGTACAGTGAATGGCTTCCCCATTGGATCCCATGGTGACTAAGCCGGCAAGTCCAGCTTTAGCTAGACGCTCCGCATGCTTCTTTATGGTGGCAATATCAAGTTCCTCGGTTTCGGGATCGAAGAAGGTCATGGTAGGAGCATAGATGCCGCACGGCAATGGCCGCCTTGTGGTTGTTTGGCCATTGAGCTCATTTCTGATCGGGACAGTCATGCTTTCTGATTAAGTGACGATGGGATAAATGGAGCCAGATGAAGATATCGCCGTTTGGCTCGCGGGTTGATATATACCGAAGTATACGTATAAGGGAGAGACAGATGATATTAAAAGATAAGATAAATACGAAAAAGGGGTGCTGAGCAAAGAGGAAACCACAACAAGAAACTAGGATCCATAGCTATACTTATAGATTCCGAGGTATACTACTTAGGAGGCGACCAGAAACTCTTCTTTCCATGACCTAATGACATTGTCCAGTGAAGTGGCATTAACGGCCTTGTGGGGTGTGGGTCAGCAGTGTATAGGAGCAGGCCTTACTAGTTCCTAGTGTTTTTATTCGCAGTGACATTGCTCCGAGGGACGCGACACTGGCAACCTCCTAGACCCGAAACATCCCAGAAAAAAAGGAGCTAATGGAACGAACTAGCACGGGAGTGCAAGGGGTTCACGCTCTCTCGGGTCGATATGACTAGAGGCCGTGGTGAATAAGCCGAATTCTTAATCAGCCCTAGGACAGATGGGCCAGTTGCGATTTAGCATTATATCAAATCAATATATCATAAATAGACCAGAAAAGTCACGCAGACACCTAATAGTCCTAAATTTCATAGAACCGGGCATGAAAACCGTCGGGCTGTTGAGAAAAGCATACCTAGGTTAGGTACCCAACTTGCCTCGGCCACATGGCTGATGGACTGCAAGAGAGCCTAATCAGCAACACTGGCTCAAGAATGGCTGAATGCTTCTGTGAAGGGGTAATGCACTCTATTCGGCAGCTGATCATGCAAAGCGTAACTTGAGATACAACAAGACTCTCGTTACGCCAGACTACTCAGTCGTGGTGGTATTTGCAATAGCTACATCCATGATTGGTCAGTTCTCAACAGCGCTTCCCGACATGGCTAGGAAACTGGGCTGATGGAAATCAGGAGGATCTGCAATAAGGTAGATCAGAACTCGGCTGAAGTTAGTGGTGGTGATCGATAGGGGGAAGATTGTCGTCGCCGGGGTTGGCGAGCTAGGCGAAGCACCAGAATAAGCCGAGGAAGCCGTGTATTGCGCGCTGAAAATTCATGGTGTTGGTGCGTTGTCGAGGTGACCGGGGGAGGTGTCGAGAAGCTGACGGAGTTTGTGAAGACGTCATTTGCATTGATCAAGCTTGTCTTGTGACCCTCCCAAGGAATCCACCGGATGGAAGCTATGAGTTTTTGGAGACAACAACGAGTGGAAGACGGGTCTGAAGCGTGCCATCCAGTTGACTGACCCGAGATATTGGAGGGTGGCCTCTTAGCGGGGCGAGGATGAAAATAACCTGGCAATGAAGAAAGGGGTTGAATGAGAGTGCTACTATGTTTTGCCGCATAGTCGAGCATGACGATGTCGTCCCTGGAGCCAGGATACCTACATTAGGTAGTATATATGGATTTGCATATGTTCCTGAGCTACAGTTAGGGCACTTCATATATGAAGCAAAAGGACTATAATCGAGTATCCACGCATAAACTAGGTACCTACCAGGTTCAAACGAGTGCCAGGAAAATAAGCAAGCGAGGAGTTGCCGTTTAGTAGCTCTAATGTCAGTATAGCCCTCGGTCCGAGGGGGTCAAGGCATGCATGGCGTACATCTATAATAGTGGTATGAGGTGGATGATACCTTGACTTGGTGAGTACCTACATAGCAGTAGGCAGGTAGGTAGCAAGTGATACCTCAATGCTGCACCCGACACGAATTGATTGCTGTTACCAGGTACAAAACTGCAGATTCCTAGTTGAGCAGCCACTTACGTGTAAGCCATGCATTTCCTGCATTCCATGCATTCCATGCGGTCCATGCAGTCCATGGAGTTCGTGTACTTATATAGTCTTTTGACTGCAGGCCAGGCCGGATAGGGCATAGACCCCACGGAGGAACCATACTAGAAGTTTTTCCTCCAGTAAAGTGATAGCAAAAGACTCCCATATAACCAGAGCTAATTCCAGAAGAATGACGCCCCCATCTCATTAAGTCTTGGTGGGGAATTCGGGCAATATTCCACGTTCGTTGACCTGTCCAGTGGTGTCCAGTGGTGTGCAATGCAACTCCGACTACCCCTGATCCGGGTTATCTCAAATTGTTGTTTGATGAGCTGGAGTACCTACGTATGTAGGTATCAGATAGGTATTTTCACGTTTTTAAAATCTGGCATGGGATGTATTTAGCCGGATGTCATTGCGGCAATCGTATTTTGAATTTCGACCTTCCTAATCCAACGATTTTCTGACTTTGTGTATTGTGAGTGAGTGTGGTGTGAACGGTTGGAGAAGAGAAAGAATTTGTTTAGAATAAGAATTTTGATTAAGAAAGTTAATCCACCGATGCCGGCTACCTTACCTAGTAGCAAGGGTCCACCAAACGCGGGGCAAGCCAACGCCTTTAGGGCTGTTTGAAAGGTTCAAGTTGGGGGCGGGGTTCTTTCGATGCCAAGAAAGGTGGGGGTGGGCTAATTTGGATCCATAAAGAGTGCATGTGGTACCTAGGCATCTAAGACCAAAGCTTAAAGTTCAAATGTTAATACAAATTTATACAAATTTAAAGAAAACTTTAACAGTGAATTCAACGCATGTGTATAGGTTGGATCCTAGTAGTTTAGCAAGGTGGCAAGCATGTCCATGATATATACTTTTATATACTTTTTGGCAGTTTCATAGTACAAATGGCTCGGTCTAAAGCTATCATCTAGTACCTGGAGCAATGGGGGGTTTCCCCAACTGCCCCTCAATTCTTCCGCCCTCCTTAAGATCAATAGTCAAGCCAGGTTCAAATGCTTTTAAGCTTCAACACGACTCACGTAACTCAAGTCTATAAGCCGAAGTGGAAGTCACATCGTCTTCTTATATCTTAATATTCCGTGATTTTCAAAACCATTCTGTGCCCTCCAAGAAATTTCATACATAGAACTGTCTCATCTCATTCACTTGATCAGGCGCAAAGTATCAAGATGGCTTCTCCCCCACCACTAAATGTGTTGATGGTATGTTCCTCCTAACAATTAATATGAATACAGCATGTATGATATACGAGCTGATCAAGGCTGACATTGACATAGGTTGGCACGGGCGAGTATACCACCGGGTTTGTGGGAGGCGGCGCGTCCGGGTCAGACAAGAAAGTGGGCGTCGTAGGGCTCAGTCTCTTTGATCTTCGAAGAAGAGGGAAGGTGGCTAAGTTGAGCATGGTGGGCACAAATGGAACCAAATTCCCAGCCATCAGTGAGCATTTCCTAACCTCAGGCTAAGCCTGAGTTGTAAGCAAAGTGAACCAGCATTAATAAGGCGAGTAGGACAACATCTCGAGACCAACATATCCAAGGCTTATAATGGCATGGACTGCTCTTTCGACTCGTATCCAGTTAATGATGCCAAAGACCCCGACGCTTATAAGGCAGCCATTGATGCTCTAAAGCCAGGCGATGCCATCACCATCTTTACCCCTGATACAACTCACTACCCCATAGCCCTTTACGCTATTGAGCGCGGTATACACACAATGATCACGAAGCCCGCAGTAAAAACACTAGAGCACCACCAAGCACTCATAGAAGCTGCAAAGAAGCACAATGTCTACGTCTACATTGAGCACCATAAGCGATTTGACCCCGCCTACGCAGATGCCAGGTTCAAGGCGCAGAAGCTCGGCGACTTCAACTACTTTTATAGTTACATGTCCCAGCCAAAGTCGCAGCTCGAGACCTTTAAGGCATGGGCCGGCGTAGACTCAGACATATCATATTATCTAAACAGCCACCACGTAGATATTTGCGATTCAATGGTTTCCCAATTAGGCTTCATCCCAGTAAAAGTCTCCGCTTCGGCAGCGAAAGGCATTGCGACTGATCTTGGATGCCACGAGGCAACCGAGGATACTATTACAGTCATGGTCACGTGGCAGAAGCAGGGCGACCCGAGCAAGGTAGCTACCGGTGTGTATACGGCGTCGTGGACAGCTCCGCAGAAGGCCGGCGTACACTCAAACCAGTACTTCCACTACATGGCCGCAGGTGGCGAAGTCCGCATCAACCAAGCGAAGCGCGGATACGACGTCGCCGACGACACTGCCGGACAACTCGTGTGGTACAATCCGTTCTACATGAAGTATGCACCAGATGAGGAAGGCAACTTTGGTGGCCAAAACGGCTATGGCTACATATCGTTCGAGAAGTTCGTGGATGGGTGCCGCGCCGTCAACGCTGGGACACTCAAGCCTGCCGATTTAGACGCGAGAGCACTTCCAACGCTGAGCAATACGATCGCGACGACGGCTATTCTAGAGGCGGGCCGGAGAAGTATAGACGAGGCCAGGGAGATTAGGATCGAAATCGAGAATGGGGTTTGGAAGCTAGTGTAAATTGCTAACTATGACGAATATATATCATTCTTGAGAGCGGCAACATCCATATTTGATGGTATTGCATATCAGCCACCCCCCGGCTGACCTTGGATTTCATATCCCCACCTAGGTAGTTCCTGTTGTTGGACACTACTACCTGTACATACCTACCTACCTACATTCCTCACCGTAACATCCCAACCGTTAGCTTCAAATTCGAGCAATTTCCTTCTTCAAACAACGCCTCCCCATCCCCCAATGGTGAATCTCCTCTTCACCTTGGTCTCCTCATGTCATCCGCCCGCGCTCTTTTTATCGATCAAGCTGGCTAGGTTAGCGGCAGGCGCGAATGCCTTGTCTCCGAAGGTCTGCTTCGCGGAATCGACTAGGAACTTGGCGTTCTTGTAGTCCTTTTGTTCGTATAGGTACCTATTTGCCATGTCAATACCTAGGTAAGAATGAAAGCAAAAACAAAGATCATAATAACTGGCCAGACCGGATACAAGAGAGGGGGGGTAGGGGGGTTACTAACCAACTATACCGCAACTGCATCTCGGCAAACCTCTGCACATCCCCCGGCGTAAACCCATACTTGTCCGTCACCGCGAAGATGTGCATGATGTGCTTCATGCACTTCTCCGCCGTCTTCCACGAGTTCTTCTGCAGCCCGCCACTGCTGTTGCTGCCAGTCGCGGCGGCGGCGGCGGCGATGGCGGCCGCCGTCGTAGGGGTAGTGGTGCCCTTTCCACTGGTACCATTAGCACCGCCCCAGGTGTGCGGGACACCCCACGAGAGCAGCTGGATCACGAGGTCCAGGTACTTTTGCCGGTCCGGCACGCTGAGCTTCTGGATTGTGGCGGCCTGGATCAGCTGGTGTAGAGATAGGACGACGGGCGCCTCGGTGCTCTTGCTAATGAGGGCGGAATTCAGGAGAGGCGCTTCGGCATCGTTGAGTCTGTGTTGGTTAGCACTCGCACTGATTTCTTTCCTTTCCTTCCTTTCGGAACAAAAGGGGGCTGGGGGAAACTTCTTACGCCATGGTATCCCTCAAGAACCCAAACTCCGCATCATTCCCCACCTCTCCCTGCGACCCCTCCAGAAAAATATCCTCATCAATCGCCTCGGGGTCCAAGAACGCCAGCAAGTTCAGCAGCTTCCCCGCATTCTCCCCCTCGAGCTTCTCAAACGACGCGTCCCACACGTCGCTCAGCGTGTGCGCGTACCCGTCCTGCACCGTCTTGGCCCCGTCGATCTGCGCGCGGTGCCGCTCGTACAGCGCCGCGAAGTCGCCCAGTGGCAGCCGGCGCTGTGCGATGAAGCCGCCCGCCTGGCTTAAAGCGAGGGGCAGGCCGCCGAAGAGCTGCGTTATTTTGACCGCGTGCTCTATGTCGGCTTCGGAGGGGTTGTTGTTGAGGCCGAGTTGGGCGAGCAGCATGGCGGAGCCTTCGGTCTCGTCGAAGGGCGAGATCTGGAGGTACTGCGTCGCGGGGCTGTTGGCGATGTCGAAGTCCCGCGTGGTTAGCAGGGTGGAGGTGGAAGGGCTCTCCGGCCAGGCGGCCTTGAGGGCGGCGAGGTCGCTGACGTTGTCGAAGATCAGGAGGCAGGAGACGGCTGGGGGGGTTCGTTAGTTATTAGGTAGTTCATGAGGAATGGATACGTGAGGTGGAGAGGCTTACTTGTGTTTTTCAGCCAGTTCTTGACTTTCAGAATCGCCGCTGCCCCGTCATACTCCTCATCCTGAGACTTGTAGAGGCGCAGCTCTTGAACGACATCGCGGAAACTGCTTTCAATCGTGGCCGTGCTATCGGCTGCAATCCAGATGACCACGCCGAATTTGCTGATGCTTTGGTGGGCATATTCCAGCGCCACCTGTGTCTTGCCGACGCCGCCCATGCCGAACAATGCTACCGTCTTGTTTGCAGACGACTCCGTGTCCGGATCAAGCTTGCTGCTGAGCGTAGCCAGCAGCTCCGAGCGGCCCGAGAACTTGCTGTTTTGCGGGAGCGGGATGTGGTGGTACTTCGTCGGCTGGGGCTCAACCTCTGGCTTGGCAACGGCGGCGGCGACGGTGGTGGTGATGGTGGTGTTGGTGGTGTTGATGGTGGTGGCGAGGTGGTCCATCTTCTCGACGATCTCCTCGAACTTGCCCTCGTACTTGTTGTCGTCTGACTTCCGCCGAGCAATCTCCGCCTCGTTGTCAACGGTGGTCGAAAACCGCCGGGTGCGTAGCAGTGTTCTGGAGAATTCGCCCTGGAACTTGTCCCACATGTTGCGTCGCAGCAGGGCGTGCGGGTTGTCCCGGAAGAAGTGGATGGCCTTGGCCAGGAAGCAGATGACCTCGGTGTACACGTCGATTAGGGCGAGTTCGAGCCGCGAGCCAATGGGCAGAGTGTCCTCGTATGCTCGGAACAGCGGCAGAGTCAGGCTCAGCTCCTCGATCATGTCCAGCACATCGCGAAGAGTGTCCGGCGTGGGGGAAGCGGATATTATGACCATGTGAATGCTTCCCCAGACTGCCGCCATCAGCGAGGCTTTGAGTGCGGCATCTTTGCCGGATGCGAGGGCAATGGTCTCGGAGAAGCCGTCTATGAACTTGAACCTCCGGCCAAGTCTGCCCAGAAACGGGAGCGCTTGCCTGTCTCGCGTGATCCGGAGCCGTGATGTGGTGTTCTGTATGGTGTTTATGTGGGCTATTAAGTCCTCGAGGGAATCAACATTTTGTATATCTTGGTAGTCTCTGCTACAGTCTAGTTCCTCTTTATAAATCTCCAAGGCTTGATTCCATTGTGGAGTTGTGGTTTTACTTGATCTTTTTTTGCTTGGGTGTTAGTTAATTCGGAATTGGTAGGTAGTTCATGATTTGTTATAAGTAGGTAGATATGTAGGTAAGGTAGGTAAGGTAAGGGGTGCATTGAACTCACTTCTCCATTGTCTGTCTAAAGGTTCTCAACGAACCATTACCAAACTTCTGATAGGTAACTACCTTTAGAAAAAAAGATTTCAACTTGCCTTTGGAGGTTCCTGTAATAATAATCTGGGTCATATACGTATAATTATATTATACAAAGTAGTATCCTTCCAGTCAACCTCCAGTGTTCATCTTTTTTGAGCACAAACGCGCAGCAGAGCGGTGAGGGGCTCATATGGATCCAAGCTTACCTACCTGGTAGGTACTTGCAGGTGTGCTAACGTCCTTTCAGCGCATGATATACCCATGCCGCCCAACCGCACTGGTTGCTGGGGGTCCCGGATCACCGCAAAGCGTTTGTGAGCTGCAATCCTATATTCGATAACACATCGTGGGCAAGACGAGGCCACTCCATCTGATAGGGTTGGCATGTTACAAGATGGACGGCTAGCAAGGGGGAGGTCGCATGTGTTTTGAATTGATTCGTGGCTGGCACGTTGGAGCAGGCGACAGGCGAGGCCTAGCTCGGGGGCGTTTCCACGTTTGAGGACCCCTGGCTCGCCCATCTGAGCGTGCTAGGCGGCTGAATCAGGTCGGCATGTGACTTAATTAATCAAGCAGTTTGAGAAGATCGAAGCGGTTTCGAACCACCATGATAGATACATCAGTCTATGTGTGGCCCGCACGTTCATACCAGCCTCGAATTATAATACATACCTTCAACTGTGGGCTCATCCCTCCTTCAGCGTGACATTCCCACCGTCCATAAATGCATTAGCCTTGCACGTTCAGCAGTGGTGGCGGTTTTGCTTTCTCGAGGGGAAACCGTCTGCTTGCTGTTCTCCACCTGCGGCACTCTCTTCGTCCATCCACGTCACGTCGGAGAGTTCTTCGTAATTATTATTTCTCGACACCCCTGGAGACGTCGGCAGTGGAACGATCCATGGTGGAGCCGTAACAACATCCCGCCAAGGACCCTTCTTTTTTTTTTTTCCATGACTCAATATATTTTTTGGGGGTTTTTTTCATCGCTTAACCTGGACTCGAAGCTTCTTCGCCTGACGGATCGCCATACAACCTTTGCCCTAGTTATCTGAGAAGACGTCTAAGCATTGCAGAAATGCGCCTATGAACGCATTAGCATATTTCCATGTTCTCGGCGTGATGGACTTGATGCCCGAACTATGAGGCTACCCCGATTTCTGCGAAGATGCATTAGGTGGCAGGAGTTGTGCGTTAGGAATATGCCGAGCTTATCATGCTATCAACGTTGAAGTTCGAGCGTGCTCGGAGATCGTCAACTCCATGTTATTGGTGTAGGCTATACTTTACTCCTCAATGATAACATCGCATTTTTTCGGGAATTCGCCCATCAGTCCCAAATGCTCGCGATCATTGGCACGAGTATCCGACTCGTTCGTGAAGCCAAGCAGCGCCAATAGCTCTGGGTCGTCCGTGAGATAAGCGCCCACTATCTCAGCCCTACATTCGTCAATGGTCGTAGCCAAAAAAAATTCCAAGTTGGCCCGTTCACGTCCGGCCTGGCTCTTGGTGGGCATCCCATCCAGAGCGCTTAGAGGCGGGTTGGTACATGCCGAGGCAGTTCTGAGCCCGCGGACATGGCATGGCATGGCTGAAGCTTAGAAAACTGCGAATAGCTAATTATGCCCTTCGCCAGACTTGCGCATCCTAGTGGTTTCGGGGAATATAGAATGGAATGAGCACTGAGATACTTTGAAACGACGGTAATCTCCTTCTCAGTCGCATAGTGCGAGCTCTGGGCTAGCGCACTAGGGTTATCCAAGAGTAAAGGGCGGGATGGCTCTTATGAGGTCCCGTATCTATGAATAGAGACGGGACAGCTTGGACGACTGAGATGCGAGCTTCTCTAACGTTTTAGGTTAGGAGTTGCCCGCGGTTCGAACTTCTGGTCTCCTGAGCCCTTTGAAATATCAGTATGATACTGACCATTTTTTTCGGGCGCTCTGCTTGCCTAGGTATATAATAGTTTCCATCATTAGACAGAAAGGTGGCTGCGTAGGTATTGTAGAAAAGCTTGGAGTTCTTCCCATGAATAGACAAGTAGTTGTTGTACCTGGGGACTGTTGGCTCAGGAGGAGAAAGGCGAGTGGTATTGAGGAGGTAATTTATGTAGGTAGGTAGGTGCTCAATGAAGTGCCCAATCTGCTGGTACCCGCGGATTGCCTGCATGATTATTCATAACATCTGGAAAGTGAACACGAATGTTTGCTTCATAATTATGTGTATGTGTACCTATGCAGTTCCTAGATACCTAGAGATATAATTATGTATTCTATGTGTTGGTAATATGAATCTTACGCATATCATACTATGAATCTCCATGTAGCTTAGGTACTACCTGGGCACATAGTAACCTTGAAGTCGAGAGTAATTTACGTATAACGAACATATTGTTACGTGGAAATGGGGGAGCTTAAATCTAGATACCTCCAGGCATGAAAACACATATACACAAGCCTGGCATCGATGGGACGGCTATCAAGGGGAAACTTAGGCATGATGTCTAAAAACACCCGATGACCGCCGAAGCAAGCATTTCTAACGTCGACTCTTTAATTCTTATTCTTATTCTTTATCATGATCATTCGTGAGAAGTGAGTACCTAACCAGGGGAAGGGGAATGGAGAGGCAAAATCGTTTAGTAGGTAGGCAGGTAGGTAGGTAGAACTAAAAAAAAAGACACCACCACCACCACCACCACAGCCAAAACCAAAACCAAAACCCCCTAACCTAGAAGAGACCCCATCGTCCCCTTTCTTTCTCGCTACTTTTTTTTGTACCCGCCCTCGGCCGTTCCCTTTCTAAACCTTCAAGCTGTCGGAGACTTTCCATCTTCTCCAGGACCAGTTCAAGGAGCTCCTTACGCCTGATAACTTCCAGGTGCTTCTTGATCTTCGGATCCTCCTTGGCGAACTTTTCTACCTGGTCGTCGGACAAGTGGCGTCCAAGTCTCAAATCAAGTTCGCGTGGGAAGTTGTAGTAGAACTCTGAGAGTAACTCCACGTTTAGGAAAAGAACGGCTGTTGAAGCCAATTTCGAAGCTACTGCGTCCAAGAAGACTTCCGGGCAATGGTACTTGTTCTGCATGTTAGTGCATTGTTTTGACTTCACTGCAAGCATTCGCATCTTGATGATATCAGCACGGTCGCGAAGGAACACGGCATCTCGTCCTGTGGATATGTCAGTGGAGAGTCCCTAGGTGCTAAAAGTTGGAAAACAAACCTCTGGTAAGCAGCTCAGCGCTAAATCCTCCCGCACCGCTACTGCTGTCGCCTTCGACCAGCACATCACCTTTCCTGGCCTTATCGATAAAGTTCATAACTTCCTTAAGCTTTCTCCGTCCGCCAACTGTGCCTTCAAGGTCCTTCATAGCACCTTCACAGGCTGTCAGTTCCTTCTTAAGAACACCCTGGACGTGGTCTCGACCCGCAGTCCACTCGCGCTCTTCCATGTCAATATCGAACTTGAAGGGCTTAATGCAGTTTTCTACTTGATCGCTAGTGCTGTAGAACCTGTCATTTAGAATGCTCGAAGCGGCCTCGGTGATCGCTTGGCGCGCAAAAGGATGATTCACAAACGTTGAATGGCCGATTAATGCGTCAATGTGAGATTGGATTGAGTTGGCCACTACATTAGTAGCGAGTCTGCCAACACCAAGTTTCGTGAGCGCGGAAGTGGAAGCATCAAGTTGCCTTCGCCAGTAGAGAGAGTCTGGGTCCGCTTTGGGAAGGTCTGCAAGGCTATTAGGCTCGGCGATGGGAACACCTAGATCGTGAATAGGTTTGTTCCAATACCTCGCTGCTAATAAGTCTAGCACCCGCTGATCTAGCTCATTCTTCAAAAGCTCATTCATTTGAGGTCGACCAAACTCTTCAGTGAATCGCTTAAAAGAATGCTTGAAAGCGTCTAGGCTCTCGGCCAAATACGACTCGGCGGACAACGGTCGATCATTGTATTGGACCTTGAATTCATAAGTAGCCTCCTCAAGCTCTTGTCGAATTGCATCGCTAGTAGACTGTAAGCTACTCGACATGGTTTGTTCGAGGACGTGCATAAGCTTCTTGCGTAGTGTTGCAGTCCCGACTTGAACTTCAGAACCAGCACCAAACTCCATAGGGTGTGCGGAGAAAAAGGTGTGTTCGTTTCGGGTAATAACAGACATGATGTTTGCATTACCCTTCTTGAATAAGCCAGTCGTTACCGGTGCACGGGGAATGACGCCAACGTAGCCTAGACGGAGAGGGTATTGCTTATCAGTTAAGATCGACGCACCCCGAGTAGGATCGACCAAATCCATCTTAGTCACAACTCCTATTGTCCTTTCTCCTCTGGGGTCAACTCTTCGACTAGCTCGCAGCGCCGTCGAGTTAGCCAAGTCAACATCGGCAGCCGAAATGGCCAAGATGACATTCGGTGGTTGTATGTATTTGTCACAAAGTTCAGATATCCTTTGCTTCAACTCCAAGGGTTGGTTCTGTCCTACCACTTGGATGTATCCAGGAAGATCAATAAGCGAGAGGTCAGGAACATGGGGCGATGAGATGGAGAGACGAATGGGGTCATCCGACACACACTGGCTGGCAGGAACAGCTTGGTTGAGCTCGGTCAAAGTTCGTTGGATGGAGGAAAAGTCTGAGATCTTGCCCAAGCCTAGATCCGGGAATTCACCGTATTCAACATCTGATTCGGGTGTGTTTATTAGGGTAAGCTCAATAGGTCTTCGAGTAACCATGTTCAACCCTTTGGGTAAGAACTCGTGCCCCACAAGAGCTTCTAGAACAGAGCTCTTTCCGGAGGACTGAGACCCAATGACAACGATAGACGGCAAACTAAGGGTACTCGACTGCCCGACTCTTGCTAATATGTTTCGAATCTCGATCATCTTTTTAGTCAGCACCATCATCTGGTCATCCTTGGCCATCTCGTCGGGGTTCCGGGGATCGTCCTCAGAAGACTGGTCGTAGCCGTAGGCGACGGCGGTGGCACCGGCAGCAGCAGCGGCGCCTACTCTACTCTGCTTTGGGGGCTCATCTCCCGATCCCTTGCCGCCACTTCCAGTGCCTATCTCTTCTTGTAACCTTAAGATCTTTTGCATCCATTCAGGTAGTTGAACCTGTTCGACTTGCTCTTTTGTATTTTCCCACCCTTGCTTCGTCTGGCCAACAATATCTCTGGCACCAACCCATATGCCGCTCGCGGTGCTTGTGACGGAGTCGGTTGCGGTATTAATCACATCCCAGGCGTAATTTCCTGCCTCTAAAAACTGCGTCAGAAAATCAGTGTACGGGTAAGGTGTTGTTGAGCCAACGCACGTGTAGCTTGGTACTGAACCCATGCAAGACCGGCGATCATGGCGCCTCCTGCCATAGCAGGAACCCTCACAAACTTTACAACCAACCTCGGCAAGAAACGGGCAAAGGAAGCGTTGCGTGCGATAACGGCATTATGGAATGAGTTCATGGGGAACCACATGCGCCGTCGTGTAGTACGGATGGAAGCATCGGCGCGAAGGATACCACCTGAGGGCAGTTGGTGATATTGACGCATAGCTCTCACCATGGCCGGGCGCGTCGCCGGGAGGCGCCCGACCGCTGCTATCAACCGTCCGCTCATGCCGGTGTTAAGAGGCGGAGGCGATTAGAAACCGGATAGTAGAAAACCATAAAGGTCAATGGTCAAAACTTTGGTTTTGGCTTTGGGTTTTGTGATTTCTTTTCGTTTGGCTTACGGGAGAGAAAAGGGGGTTTATAGAGCGGGGTGTTTGTTGGGAAGATGGTATATTCGTGGTTCGACGGTTTAAAAAAAAAGGATAAGAAAAGAATGGAGTGATCGAGAAAGTTACGTGGGCTGGTGGCGTCGGAAGCTATGAAGTTTAAAGCTTTAATAACTTAAATTCTTCCAAGTTATTCATTTCGACCTTGCAGCCCTGGGCACATTCTAATCACTAGTTATCGCTTTACTTTATGTCGCACTACATAATATAGCCCCACTTCCTCTTATGTGGCAGCTTGTGCGACCAGGCATTTCCAGATGTGGCTTATGCATGCATACCCAGGCTGATATGCATGCTATGGCTGTGCACATTGTGGCTACTAGGTACGTACCGCTGACCTAGCACATATTAGGTATGACTTTCACATAATAGTTGGTCAACGTCAAGTAAACATGCTCTTATTTCTAAGCTGATCATATTCAGGTATTCTTGAGGCTATTCGGACACTGTTCCTACATCTACCTCTGAGTCACTGTTATAATACCATGCTGCAAACGATCAACTACTTCTTCAAGTCTACTTATTCAATGCCTAGGTACCTAGCATATGCCTTCTCACGTGAAGAAGTTTCTAGTATATTCCAATCCTCAATTATGTAGTCTCGAACATAACACGTAGGCGATGGCGAGGGTGGCAATGGCAAAGTTGGTGATAGCTTCAGGGGCATATGTGGGGCCTAGCTGTCTTGGCTTAATAATCCGTTGAGAGAGCCCCTTTGAATCCTTTATTCAGTTTTAAAAACCATAGGTTCATCAGCTACGCGTAACAAGCAAAACACCCATGATCTCAATACCCCATTTGCCTTTCTATATCTGTGTCTTCTAGCCGTCTCGAAAGATGTTCCAGGATCGGGATGTGTGCTACGTAGGGAGGCGAATATCCCGACCATGAACTCGCCCCCCCTAAAGAAAAACGCACGCCCAGGACGCTGTTAAGGTATGTACATCATCGAAGGTACTGATCTGATCTTCGTCGAAAGAACGAGAAGAATGTGTAGATAATGGAAGACGCGCCAAGCCTTATTGTTAAGCTGGGGCGTGATGAATTCTATACTTTTGAAAAGAGCTAGGAAGGGAAGAAAAGAAGGCCGGAGTGTTGTGTTCGTGTAGTCACTGGAAGTTTGGCAGAGATAGTAGGAAACGAAATCAAAGTCATCTTCACCATTTGTGTTGAATGATTCATTTGTGTTGGTGTACCTAGGTTACTATGTAGATGAACAAATTTGGGAAGTTTAGGCTTATCAGGTAAGTTGAAAAGTGATTGTAAATAACGATGGAAAGAGTAGCGTTTGGCACTTGGTGTGCACAACTACTGATATTTGTGTGTTGTTATTGTATATATAAATACCAAGGCATCTATCGTAATACTATCCCAATGGATACCTAGAATATAGAGTCATGGAAAATGATCTAGAGAGGCATTTGAAGTAGGTAGGCATATTTCTGGCTTTCCGTTTCGATGTATATATAACAAAAATTCCACCAAGAAACTATCATCTCCATGTCGTCCCAGACTCCCACATCAACACGCCGGCGATACGAGAGACTGTCTACCAACCCCAACCCCAACCCCTGACTACACCCGCCATATCATCTAGTATCAGGTCAAGATCCACGTGAGCGCAACGGCACTCAAAACCACAACCTTCTTCGAGAAAACTGAAATATAGCACCGACGACGATGAAGAGACTAAAGGGGCGCGGCGGGAAGAACCGCTTACTACTACAATGGGATGGATTCTCCCGCCCGGCCGGGGGGTAGGTCCAACCCCGAGCACAACAGGTCTCGAGAGAAAGCGTAATGCGACGTAAGACGATCCAGCAGCCATGGACGCAGAGCTTCCATCGTGCCAAGATGGAGATGAGGTCCTGGCCTATACGAGGGCCAAACTCGAATACACGCGAACGACAGCATCCTAGGAAATGGGGTGGCTCGCCGGCGGGCGCGAAGTTTAGACCCGTGAAACCCCAACAGGTCTGCCTCAGATATCGCTCCCACAAACGGGGATTTTTCGCGGGCAAGTACTCTATGTTCATGCCACAGCCCTACCTACACTTGCCGTATTGGGCCTTTTTTCTTTTCTTTTTTTCTTTTTTTCACCTTGACCTTTGTCTAGAAGGCAGGACGGCGAGGGGAATAAACACCCCACAACAAATGGCCAGCACACACACGGCCATGATACTTGCCGCTTTCTCAGCAGATGACGCACAGCATACAGGAGTTGACAAAGAACTCCAAGCCTTTACGATGCTGTTGCTCATGCTTGAAAGTGAGGACGCCTACATGGAAACGGTCACAATCGAGTCGATCGTCAAATGAACCTCAGCCCAGGATTGGGCGCCGCCCATGATATTAACCGCTTCGACCGACCAGCCAAGGCTACGGCAAAATCAGCACCAAGAAGCGACGACACATCGCACGCCTTAGATCCATGTGGGTCGGTATAAGGGGCAGCTATTTTGGATGGCGGAAGCGGACGCAGAAACCTGCATTCCCTCCCCGGCTTCTTGCCTTTTCACGTATCAATTCCATTTAGATATTTGACTAGGTACTTACAAGGCCGCGTGCTACCACGACGAAATTGGGTTCTACGATACAGCGAAGCCTGAAAAATTGTTTAACGGTGGCGACAACTAGAGAGGAGGCAGAATTTCTGCTCAGGAAATGGATAAGGATATGGGAATATCGGCATATCCCCATGTACCAGCGTGCAGGCAGTTATTGACTTTGCTGCGAAGTATTACAGCAAAGGCGAGATACCGACTGAGAAGTTCACGCAGTTGACGTCAAACATATTGCCGCATGTCACCGACGGGAGCCCGATGCTATCATTCGTGGGCGGTATAGTGTAAGCAAAAGTAGGGGTGAAGGTAGAGAGAAGTACATACCTAACCTACATACCTCGTAGATATTAATTCGTGACCAATAATTCAATGTCTACCTCAGTATAGAATCCCCCAGCCAACATAGTGATAGGATTTGAGTTTATAGGGTAGATGGGTGATGCTTCTTAGGGGGTTCCAAGGTTCAGGAAGGGTCTGTCAGCGTACTTTAGTGCTTACTACTAGGTACCTACTAGTAGTAGGTAACAGTTAACTACCTACCTATACCTGGTACCTAACTTAAGAACTAGGTAAGTAGATAGAGGCCTACATACTACCTCTAGGTAGGCACTAAGCTGCCCGCATCTTGCACATATTGGGCATTACATGACCAAAACTTGGTGAACAACAGTGTGCATGATTGCAGAGACAAAGGGTTGAAAATGATCGTTTTTGTGTATTTGTCGTTTTCTTTATTCACGGTTTCATGACAAAGGCCACATGAGATAATGAGTACTGGTGTATGTGAATAAAGGATGTAAGAGCTAATCAACAGAACTGTTTTAGAGGCAGCAAAAAAGAGAAATAAGCGCAGTGGCGCCAAAAGCTACGACTTTGAAGTCAAAAAGCAACAGCTACCTACCTAGTACCTATCTTCGGTAACCACCTGGATACCTATGTAGCTTAAGCTTTAAAGAACAGTAAACACAGCAGGTGCTTGATAAAACGATTAAAAAATAAGTTAAACAGATAAATTAGAAGATAAGTAAATAAAACAGAAAATAGGACGAAATTTAAAGATCCATCACACCCATCACACCCATCACACACAAAAAACACAGGTCCCGCTTTCGGAACATTTTGCTGATCCTCACGAATCACCATCCACCATCCACCATCCACCATCCACCATCCACCATTTTTAACGGGATTATCCACTAATTAGTTCAAGTATTTACGGGTAACACAGCTAACCCTTGCTTAAAAACATGGAACCCTTGCGAAAGCAGCTGGGCGAGACACAAGGCTTCCTCACGGATAAAATCAAGCAAGTCCGACAGCTACGCGTCGAGCAAAGGGCGGCCATGGAAGATTGGAAGCGGGAGAAGCTGGGCTTCAAGGCCAAGCTGCAGCAGATGGAGGCAGAGATTAAACGCCTCGGACAAGTAAATAATGAAGCTGCTGGCATTGCAGTAGGAGGAATAGATGGCAGAGCAAAGCCACAACAGCAACAACAGCAACAACAGCAACAGCAGCAACAGCAGCAACAGCAGTCAGGCACCACCACCCAAGAATCATGGAATGGAGCAGCAGGAAGCCTGACGACAATGCTGAAGAAGGGACCAGACGAAGAAACCTTCATAATTACACGGTCGCGAATGCAGGACATTGAGGCCAAGTACAGAAACGTCACGAGCGAGCTGGCGGAGCGTACCAAGCTCTGCGAGTCGCTGCGGCAAACCTGCCGCCTCAACGGCGTTCCCGAGACCGCCATCCCTCCCCAACTCCCTCCTCACAGTCCCACCGACGAGGAGGTGGTCACGGTCTGGTCCGCGCTGCGAGAGCAGATCCGGGCCCTCACGCTGAACCGGTTCAACAACGTAATCCCCGTGAAGAACGTGCCGGAGAAGAACAGACGAGAATTCGAGTACCTCTCGACCCACTGGCGGTCCTACATGACCAACGGCCAGCTGACGTCGTACATCTTCCGCGCGCTGATCTGGCGGTACCTGGACACGTGCCTGTTCGGCAAGTACTGCCGCGTGTGGGGCAAGGAGCCGGGCGACGCCGCCGCGAAGCTAGCCGGCCTATTCTCGTCGTCACCCAAGGTCGCCGACGTCGAGTTCCAGGAGTGGCGCATGCAGACGGCGGCGCTGTTCCAGAAGGCCTGCGTGCCCGACCTCGCCGTCAAGAACGAGGTCGCCGGCAAGATCCTCGAGGCGACCACCAACTTCGCCAGCGGCGTCGACACGGAGGGCCTCAGCAAGGCGATCGCGAGCATCGTCGACACGGCCGCGGGGCTCAGCGCTATCTTCGCTAGCACGCAGTTCGGTGTCCTGATGTCGGATAAGCCCGGCAGTGACCTCACGCGCGGGTTCCCGCACCAGGTCGCGACGATGGAGATCAAGGGGAAGCTGGGATCGACGGGGGTGGACATGATAATATCGCCGTGTCTACTGAAGAAGGAAGCTGACTACACGATCCTGGTGAAGGCGGAGGTTATTTGCTAAAGGATGCATAGATGGATGGGTGGATGGACGAAAGTGTTCATGCTCGAACAGTTACATGAGACGATCAGGCAGACGGCTGATATCGACAAGGGCGTCTCTTTAGGAGTATGCGGCTTGTTTAATGGTATCCGGAAAGTTGCCGTCGCGCCGCGATTGATGGTGGATGAATGGATTCTAGGTGAATTTACGGAAGAAGAAGAGGAGGAGGATGAGGAAACGGGTTCTGCGATGAAGCGATGAAGCGAATGAAGATTTAGAAAGATGCGATCGATACCTGCGTCCATGCCTGCCTACTAGGCACTTAATTACCCTGATTTAGGTACCTACCTACCTAATAACAGCGATTTCCGCGAGTTCGTGTACTTCACGATGGGAAATAATTTGCCTCACTTAGCATCTTTAGCTACAGCTACCTTTAGGTACCTACCCTAGGTACATAATGATACCCATCCGTTTACTACAACATCTAAAACCAGTTCAACTCATAGATACTGTGTAAATACTGGGCGTATAAAGAGTAGGTAAATAACCTCGATGAATTGCGTTTAAGTACCTAATCTTTAATTATTTTCGACTAGATTTGATATGGCTTTTACTATGTTCATACCTAGTTGAGAGTAAAAAGGCTACTTCAGAGTATAAATGTTAAGTTCACAGGTGCTAGCAGCTGTCTCAGTTAAATAGCAAATAGGTAATTGTCCCAATTTTCTCTCCTTGTCATCCATCAGCTCTACTCTCACTCACTCCTCCACATTCACTACCTACCATATATCTTTTATATCACCACATCTCATCACCAAACTTCACTCCTTCACCTCCCACCTAACTAACTCACATATAATGGCCACAGCCACATCCTCGCTCATCTTCTCGCCCCAAGCCAACCACAACTTCTCCCGCATCCTCGGCGACCTCAAGCGCTCCAACCTCTCCATCACCAACCGCCTGCGCTCCATCCAGGAAGACGCAGCCTTCGTGTCCGAGGTCGCCGCCGCCTTTTCCCGGCCGCTGATCGCAAACGAGCGGTGCGGGAGCTGGTACATCGCCCCTGAGAAAAAGGCCGGGTCCGCCTATTTCAAAAGTACCGATGGTCACACGGGGCAGTGGCAATTCAGCACGCGGCGGCTAAACTTGCAGTTACTGGCAGTGATTGGCCAGCATGACGGGTGCATTATTGTTGACTCGACGAGGAGGGGGAAGCGGATGCCGGATGCGCTCAGCAAGACGGTGCCGATCTGGTGCTGCGTCCTGAACCACGTGCTCTTCCCCGACTCCCCGTCATTCCACGAGCTCTACACGCCTCCCAACACCATCTCGAAGTCGGAGCACGCGCAAATGGAGGCCCGCATCCCCGAGCACGCGGCCGCGTTCCAGGCGCTCAGTGTCGATGTCTCGTCCTTGCGCCAACAGCTGAAGAAGCCTCTGCGACCCGTGTGGATCACCCAGGAGTCGCAGCTCGCCCCTACAGACGAGGTGTTCGAAGACTTCCACCCCGTCGTCTGCTGCACGAGCTCTAGGCGAGTCCTCGGCGGGGAGATGAGCGAGGGCGGCTACATCCAGGGCGCCGGCGACGACACCGAGAACTGGGCTCTCGGGCTGACGCCGCCGGTCTTCTGGCGGAACGCGGAAGCACTTTTATCCACGCCTGAGCCGGATCTGCCCGACCTGGTGCGCGCCTTAGTCGCGGATCAGGGGGCGGCTATAGATACCGCGGCTCCTAGGCAGATCTCGCCGTATATGTGTGTTAGCTGCTTACCATTTACTCACCTTGAGTCGCCCCCATCCACATGCACGATCGCCATCCACTCCAAAGTCATAGACCCCAACGCCTGGGTAAAAAGCCCATCGCTCATGGAAGTAGGCGTCGGCAAGCACAAGCTCGCGAGCCGCAACCTGCGCCTCGCGCTCCCCCAAATCAGCGACTTCGTGCGGCGGTTTCTCCTCGAACGCACCCCGGAACCCCAGCATGCAGAAGAACAAGACTCCGACGCAAATACCCCTTCACCTTTGTCAGCAGAACCAAAACGCATCCTAATCGCCTGCGAAACCGGCAAAGACCTCTCCATCGGCGTCGCGCTCGCGCTGCAATGCCAGTTCTTCGACGGCGAGGGTAACTACTACAACGACGCTCGAGCCGCCGCGTCGGTAGGCCATACGAAGAGCGAGATCAGAGTCAGGCTCAGCCGGATCATGACGAGTTTCCCCGAGGCGAATCCGAGCAGGGCGACGCTGCAGAGCGTCAACAGCTTTCTCATGGGCTAGAGGCCTTGCTGTTGCTGCGAGTCGCTGAGCGTGCCGGGTAGGTAGGTATGTAGGTGTCATCATAGGCTCCTGGGAGGTTTGGCGGCTCCATACCTACCTGCCTTCGGGCTTTTATTGAGCGCTCTGGGCGGCTTGAATCTATCTACCTGCCTGCCTGCCTGCCTATAATAAAGGATCTACGGATGAGCTACCTTAGGTACGCATTGCTTGCTGATCATCTAGCTGGAGAATGTCTGGGTTGGAATTTTCTTGGCGCCTAGATTTGAGGGTATACACCGCACATAGGTACCTAAGGCAGCTATTCATCTATCCACTTCTGCTGCCAGATCAGCTAAGAGGCTGCGAACACGTGGCGGAACGCTAGGTACCTACCTATGCGAGATTTCTGGCATGTTGGGTTGACATGTGATCTCTTCGCATGGCGTTCGTGGGCGGCATGTCTATACCTACGCTTGTCTCGAAAGTGAGAGTTTCTATCTATCGGTATTGAGTTCTGCTCACTGACAGACTTATTTCCTACCCGGGTTACCTTAGCTTCCCGCGGTTCCTTCAAATCGACACGCTGTGCGACCTTGAGAGAAATAGGGGACATGACTGTCTACTCGGGGTGCATATCAAACGTAACTGAAGGGTTTACTTTTGTACCTATGTCACCAGCAAAGTGCCATTTCAGCATTTGCATATGAACAACTAACTACTTATTATACCTGCGCCTGTTTCGGTTCGCGCTTAGACTTGCTTTGCTGCTGCCGAATCGCTTCTGTATATCTGTCTAGTAACTATCAAGAGTCTTACGTACGTACGGTCAGGCTATCTCACACCAGATAACGAAGATTTCTGTGGTTTTGTTTGGCGTTTTATGTTACAGGCTACTACTGTCCTAGGTTAGCTCGTTGGTATCGAGGCTCGGGGGATATATTAAGTGATCATAGTAAAAGGGAATGAGTCTAGTTATCATTGAGAATATATCGCCAAATAATACACATCTGGACAGGTATACACTACCTATCTCTAACCTGGAGTAACATATTACAGAAATCTCATTGCCATCATCGTGAACTAACCCTCCCCGAAATGTCTTGGAGTATCTAACTACCATTTCCCATGCTGCCGAATATTTTATATCACCGTAATCTTCGCCCCACGTCTTCAAAATCTCATCAACCTAGGATCTATATACCGGGTTAGATAAACTCTCAGCCCACGAGCCAATAATAAGCAACATCACGCTTCTAACTTTAGCATCACCTACCTACCTACCTACCTACCTACCCCCTTGTCTCAATACGGACGGGCTATAGGCCAGACACCTCGGCACCGACATAAACTCAACCACTAGGATCTCCCCGCAACGGCCCGGCCCCGACGGTCATCGTGACTGTCAATCCATGCCTATCTCTTTATTCCCACCTACCACATAAACTTACTGCAATATTTCCTTTTTTTTTTTTTAAAAAAAAGGGGGGGGGGGGGGGGGGGAACCACGAAGATGCAGGACTTTTTCTGTCTCAGAAAAGAAGAATAAGAATAATAATAATACAAGGAGGACAGGGAATTAGGGGAATTATTAAAAAGATCGGACATCGTCATTTGACTTGGGTTGTCTGCTATTATTCGAGAAAAGCGTCTTGATCCGGTTTGGGTAGCATACCTACCGGTTCGGTTTCTCAGCTTTCTCAATCTTGTCGACTTGAATTTTTTGGAAAAGCCCATGTTACCAAGTCGTGTCGTCGAGTCATGTATGTACCTAGGTTAGGTAGGTAGGTAGGTTAGCTAGCTAGCCTGTTCAGATGATCAGGTATCTTTCTCCGTGTGTGTGCCTACCCTCGAACCCGACCATCGCAATTCCTTCGACGTCGCTGTAAGCTGCAAGCAAAATAAGTACCAAAGTAAGCAAGCAACCAAAGGAATGAATGTGAAGCCTGTGTTCATGTTCAATCCCAAAATCTGTGAAATGTACCTAGGTATATCCGCATCGAGATTAGGCGAGGCGTTTTCGCATGTAGGTACGGCCGCGTAATCTCTGTCTGGGTGTGTAGAAATGCATCCGCTCATTTCGTGGCGTCTGACCTAGGTAGGTAGGCAGGTAGGCACCTATGTGATATCTGCGGGACAAGCCAACGAGCCATACTTTATTCACCTTCTTCCATATCCATGCCTGTCTCTGTATTCGTTCGTTCGTGATATTCGGGCCGTGCCAACCATGGTTTTGAACATCGGTATGCATGTATCATGCATGTATAACTAGGTACTACATACGCGATGAGCTCCCTGATTTCTATCTCTCCAGATGTCCTTCAAGAATATGTAGGTATAATATATGTGCCCTCGATAAAATTAGACATACATGCTACTCGCCTCCCTTCGGTTCATCCATGAGGTATAATACCTACTCACACACCTACATAACCTCGTCGATGGGGTTCCCTCTCTCCTGTCTCTTTTCCCCTTCTTCTCTCCCCTCCCCCTTATCTCAAACCCTCATCGTCTTCACCAACACAAATGCCGCCCTCATCGCAAGCCACAGCTCTAATCGCCGTCGTAACCCCTTTCATAGCCCTCGCAATCCACGCCCCCCTTCTTCCTCTCAACCTCCTCCTCACCATCCTCTTTCCCATCCCCCAAATACGCGCCCTCCGTCTTCCCCCTTCGCTTCGCAACGCCTCGCTCTCCCGTGCGTGTTCACGGTGGGCGGGTTCGTGGTAAGCGGTGCCTCGGTAGCCCGGCTCGTGACGGTCGATAGGTTGACGCCTACTACCGACCTTTCTGACGGCGGAGCTGGTGAGGGGGAGAGGGGGAGGGAGTAGGGGTTATGCTGGCGCTGTGGTCGGGGGTCGAGCGTAACCTCGCTATAGGTAGTGTGTGCGTGCTTGCCTGTTTTAAGGGGGATGATGGCTATTGGGACTACTGCTACGGCTACGACCACCATGAATGGGAGTTGGCGAGGGACGAGGCGTTCGAGGACGGTGATACAGCAGCCGCGGCGTAGAACACGTGATGATGAGAACAGTACACACCGTCACCGTTTGTGGCATGCTACTGACTACGGCCGGGACGATAGCAAGGACGGGGGTAGCGAGGACGTGGAGATAGGGGATGCAGACACACTCGAGGTTTCAACTGGGCGAAGACAAGCGGAATAATATCAGCCCGCCGACGCCAACATATGTAACGAATATAAAGATTGGTAAAGATGCCATGTTCTTTATCGATTTAGATTAATGGACAATAAACATACAAATCTCTATGACACTTGATCAATTCTCTTGCTGCTCGTCAATTATTAGGTATTTCTCATTATCGTCTCATTGGGTATCTTGATCTTATGTAATGCATGCTGCTGCGCTCCTTAGCAGTACGTATCCCCTATTAACACTATTAGCATATCAATCCACCTCTGGTCCCATATCCAGAATAGCCCTTTTCGTCATATCGTCCTGGACCCATTTCAGGACGGTATCCCCAACGTCGCCAACAAGTTTTTCATAGTGCTCGCCTTTGAAAAATAGGCCTGTATGGGCACCAACTTGGTCGGTATCCTTGATAAATATTTGCACCCACTTCGGGTCGACTCCGCCATCTACTTTGTGTATATTGCAAAATTTGCGCTCCTTTGGTGGCTTCGAGGTTTTACCCTTATTTCGACTATCCCCAGGGGGTTTTGGAGTAGGTGATATCGCATTTGCATCACAGCCTGGTTGTGATGCTTGCGGGCTCAAAACTGCGTCTGTTGGCGTTACTTCCTCTAAACCCGAGTTTGTTTGCGCAGCAGCAGCAGCAGCAGCAGCGAGAGCCTCTTCCTTCTTACGCCGTTTCTTTTCTTCCTTCTCTTGCTTCTCCGTCTCTTGTGCCAGCTTCTTTTTCCTCTTGTCGAAAGTCTTTTGTCTTTCTCTAATGGCCCTCTCGCGGTCTTTTACGAGCTTAGCGTATTCTTTCTGAATTCGCTTCCCTTCCCTTTCAGCTTGTTTCCGTGCGTTCTTATCAGCGTACTGTTCCAGATCCGGTAGCTCTGGTTTCGTGGGAAGTTCTGGGATAGCAGGAAGATCAAGACCTAGTGATACAACGGCGCGAGTGATATCCGCCGTTGCTGCATCATTCTCTGAGGATCTGTGAGGCGAGGCACCTTCATGGCCTTCCTGGAGATCTGGAAGTGTACTAATTCCGTTGTCAGGAGGGCCGGTAGCTGGTTGACTATTTTCTGAGATACTGTGCTCGACATTGTCTGATGACTCGTCCACTACACTAGATCCAGGTGCTGGTTCAGCCTCTTCGGAGATTGGCTCAGGGTCCAGTAGTGCCAGACCAGAGTTCTTACTTTGCGTAGTAAAAGCACCCTGGGATAGAGTATCCTCTTCAGCAACAGCACTCATAAGACTCAAGGGGCTTGGAGGGCCGCTGTGGCTTTGAATTGAGATTCGTGGTGTTGTAGAACCCGAACATGTCTCCCTTGGCAATCTAGAGGATTCCGAACCGTGATTAGAGTTCCGGCGCTGAGATTGCTTGGGCTGCTTAGGCTGCTTGGGATAACCGTGGCAAATAGTGTAATACTGAACGAAGCGTACTTGCGGGGGTATGTGAGGGAATCCGTGATTCTTTAAATCGTCCATATCCTCTAGGCCACGAATGTTATTATAACGTGTTTTGAGACCTTTGCCATCCACTAGGCACCCCCCGTATTCCAAATATGACATGATATGGTTGCTGGCAGCATCAATCAAGCCTTCGGCGTTGTGTTTGTCAACGAAATGGACAATATTTCTCCACCAGCCCCTATCCTGAACACGGGCGTCGTTGGGAAATGCCGGGTTAAAATTAGGGTCAAACGTCATACCATAGGGAACAATTGACCCTGGCGACCCTGGGGTAGACAATGAAAACTGAGAAGCAGCGGATGGGCCCGAATATAACGAGGTGCTTTCCGAGGGTACATTGTACAAAGAGTGGATTGTCTCGTCATCTGGTATCGGCTCCTCTGGCGGGTCTGCTACATCAGGCTTGGGCCGGAATAAACTGGCAATACCAGCAGTAATAACACTAGCATGTAGCCCGAGGAAGGGCGCATCCAAGTTGACTGTGCCCAGGATGCGGTGAAGAAAGTAGCTACCACTATGCTGGTTTCTTGATGGCTAATGGGGGAATTGTATTAGCTACAGGTACAGTAGAAGCGAGACGGACAACTTACCATCAAGGCGATCTCTGCAGCCAACAAGCCTCCCATGGAGTGACCGACAAGCACCACATCGGTGTTGGGAGACTCATGTGGTGCCAGCCACTTACTGAAGTTGTCGCGAGCTACATCAAGGGCCTTGTAGGTCTTATATCTTGGATAGATCTTTGAGTGAATGACATGAGTCTCGGCGAGGGCTATCTTGAGATAGCGGTGGACATGAGCTGGGAAGGACTGAAAAGAGGCATCGCTACCCATAAAACCATGTATGTAAATGATAAGAAGCTTGCGCCGGCCATCCTTTTCATTTCCAAACGAAGAAGGTACTAAGGATTGGGTAGAAGAGGATCGTGGATCATGTAGGGTAGCGAATGTGAGGGGTGACAAGCTTGATTGACTACCAAAACTTGGCTGACGGCTATGTACTGACACATGATCCAAGGTTTGGTTCATGGTGGTGATTCTGATGATGGGATGAGCCAATCCGAGGCCGAGTCAATATCCAAGTTATTTATTTGTTGGTTTTATTCGCACCAGGCCAGGGGGCTCAGCAGTTCAGTGACGTAAGTCTATCTTGACTGTTGACACTTATGTCCTGATGGGTCTCGTAGCATATTGGGGCGCAGAAAGACAGAAGTAAGATCTAGTTATGAGTGGGAACAAACAGATTCATGGTACAAATGCAATGCAGATAGGTCTTATGTATTTGACAGGTTTTAAGCGAAGGTTGCACTGACGGTATAGGTTAGGGAGAAGAGGAAATGCGAAAGGTGAAATGCGAAATGCGGAATATAAAAGTGTGGAATGCGAAGTTCAAAGTTAACTACCTAGTATTGAGTTTATTACATAGGACCGTACCTGGGGGTTAGCTGGGGTACCTAGGGTAGGTGTAGGTAGCTTCACGCTGTGCTACCTATATGAACACCAATCAGCAGCTACTATTGGCTGTGTCCTAGGTTAGTAGGTTAGGTCCCTACTAGCAGGTTAGGTCCCTACTAGCATAACATTGAAATAGCCCAAGCCCACCCACTTTCCAGTCACACCTCAAGTGCTTTGAACATTGAATCTTGAAAGTTGCTGGGGTTCCACTACCTACATCCATCGATGTGTATTATCGTGCATCAAGGTTAAGGTTCAGCCCTGTGGCATCAATACATTCAGTGCTCAATGTTCAATTTACTCTTCTTAGGTCTTACACATAAAAGACCACGGTTAGACTTCCATAGGCAATAGATTAAGCGCCCTTATCATATGTAACTTGAAGTTAATGTATTGCTTTTACCTAGGACCTAGCCTCTTGAAAATCACACCCCCTAACATTGAGGCAACCGACATGGAGGCTATGACACTAGGGTACACAGGTAGACACATAGATAAATATCTGACTCCCATCCTACCAAGCACTGAACTGACGAACCCAAGACACCACCGCACCCATAGACTACACTCAGATGGTGTCTCAGTGGTGACCTATCTCAAGTGTCACCTAAACACAAGTAGTAACTCCACTGTCATTATACTTTTTCCAGGTATCTAGGTACGTAGTACTTAGGCTGGTCTCCTAATATCTTGAATTGGCTCATCACGCCTAGGTCGTGAGGTAATACTGATTTAGTTGCCTACCAGGTAAGCACTCAGGTAAAAGAAATGAAGCTTCACACTTTGGTGCTAAGCCAACTTTATTCAACTACCATCATCGTAGAGGACAGTCTAATCTAGGACCTGTTGTAGACTAGACGCATCGGTATACCCTCGGTATCGGACTGCCCCCCCTGAAGGGGAGCGCGGGATCTATATAACTAGAATCTCGTCTTGCATGAACCCTCATACCCATTTCAAGTCGTAAACTACCTGGCTGGCTCCCAAATAATTGTCTCTTCTGAAGAGGCATGGAATGAAGTTCAGCCTGAATTCACTGGTAGCGGAATGCCTGAATACACTCGGTACGACGAGCGAGTTGTTTGTAATGTCAAGCCTTCTGAATCCATATGACGGCGTGTACTGAGATCATACTCGAAAAATACCTGCTACCCAACTGAATAGCAGGACCAAAGACCCTCATTTTTTTAATCGAAGTTGCATTAGGAAATCAAGCACCCAAAGTTTCCCTCGAAAAGCCACAAGCCATTGCTTGTGTCCTTGAGACGACTCTTGCCATCCCCATAGCTCAATGAGTAGGTAGTAATTTATTGAGCCGTTTGTGCTTTTCTGTCCCACTGCCGAGGGTATGATATTTTAGAGCCCAACCGTTGCCCATCACAGATAACCATCGAAAAGTACTTGGGTGCCCGACCACTGCTGCTTGTTGCTTTATATCTTAAAGTCATCCTAACGCCTCGCGCCATGCTGAAATCATGGGAAAATGCAAATAATTGTAACGTATTGCGTAGGAGGTTGACCTAGACGACATCCATCGTAGAAGCCTATTCATTCCTACAACCACGTCAAATTGCCACACCTTGTTTTTTATTGGGTATCTCAAGGTCACGCCTTTATTCTGCCACCATAACCTCGGCCGCCAGCACTACCAGAGGTAGACATCGCACTGAGATTCTGCTATGATGGGTCAGCGAAGAGGCCTGTAGGAGAATGAATATCTTTATGTACCTGTTTTCTCCTCTTCGTACTTGGCCGGCCATCTCCAGATGCTGTTGAGTATCCGCCTGTATCGTCGTCCGCATATCCCTCGCCGTATCCGTCAAAGTTGTTGTCCTGGTAGCCTCGCTTCTTGCCAGGCCGAGAACTGCGGTCAACTTGTGGTGTTAACGGCTTGCCCGGCTTGGGTGTAACACCCGGAGCCGAGGCAGCTGGAGTGCTTGGAGCGGTCTGTCTCGCAACTGGATCCAACCCCGTCTTCTTTGGGAGGTTTCCAGGGGCCAAGTCCCCAAGGACTGCGCTATCCCATACGGCTTTCGGAATCGGGCCTTTGGCCATCGTGGTTGCTCGTGATAGATGCGCTAGATGGGTCTGCGAAAACCCTCTAGTAATATCCTTCCCGCTAACTTCCCTGCTATACCAAACGTCATCAGGAATCTCAGCTAGCGCTTTAAGACCGTCAGGCGCATCAGGTTCTTTCTTCACAGCATCAAAGTGACCACTCAGTCCCAAAGTCTTAATTTGGCCTTTGTATGTCTTACGAAGTGCATTCTTTTCGCCATTCGGCTTTGTTCGAGCAACTTCTGAAGCGATGCCGGTTAGACCGAACAACTCAAAAAGGTCATCGGACAAAGCGGGCCAGGCGCGGGAATAGTCTAGAGGAGAAATAGTGTCAACCAAGTATAATCAAATCCCATCAAGTACCACTTCAAAGGATTACCGTCGATCTAAGGATGGCAGAATGGTTGGGCGCGTAGCTTGTATGAGACTTAAAGGGAGCCTTACGAGTACTGCAGAGAAGATACTTCTCACCAACATCAGCGTGTAGGGCTTCAATACCGACTCTGCGATTCTCGATATGTGGTTTTTTCTGTTCATGGTCTTCGGTGTCATCAAAAGGATACTTTCGCTTATGCATATATACGTCTGCCATTGTATTTTCGTGGGACGCATCGGTTGGTTGGGATGAGCCATTCACACTATGTGCCGGCTAAGATGATGTAGGGTTAGCAACGAATGTATATCACAATAAACAATTTTGTTTTCATGGTGTTTATTTTTTTCCATTCCATTTTCAATAATCAGGTGTGATGACTTTTTCCTATGATAGATTCTAAGAACTTACGGTAGGTAATGTGGTAGTTATTGAAGTCATAGAGCTGTTCATGCTCGATACTTGGTCGGCGGTATTTGGAGAGAACTGGGAAGGGCTTTGAGGAGTTTGGGGATTGAAGGACATGGTCGCCATCGAGAAAAGTCGACGAGAAGGTGACGAGGATGTGATGCGCAGAGTGATCCAGGTTTGAAGAAGTTGGTAAAATCCCTGAGTGGATTGCGAGCGGCAAATTTTGACGTAAGGTCACTGGCTGACAGATCCGACGGAAGGTAACGAGCGAAAGTTGATGACGAGGCCTCGGATTGATAGACGGCAACAGGATTGATTTTCGACGATGCGCTGGATAGACGAGAGTCGAATAAGGGCGTTGACGTTTGGTGGGATGATGGGAAATGATCGCTCTCACTGTGGCAAGTCGCGCCAAACCGCCGACCGGCTGTTGTGGTCGAAGGTTCCCGAGTCCACCAACATTCACCGACTTAACCCCTTCTACAGCGTCGCTTCTCGAATAAAAAATACCTAGATAGTTATAAATTGAGCGACGGAAACGGCCTTCGAAATTTTCGTGATGCCTCGTCGTTGTGGTCGTCGCGGAATTGCGGAAAAGGAACGAGGGTTGACGGATGTGGTAGTTGGGTGAAAGGACGCAAAAAGGATGAAGTTGCAAAATGGAATGGTGACGGGCAAAACGGGTAGACGGGGGGAGGGAAGATTGGAAAGTGGTGCCTTGGCTTGCGACTGGGCAACTCGCCTAAGTAAGTTAGTACTAAATGTAGTGTTAGCACGTTACTTCAATGTTAGCAGCTTAGTTCTTCTCAAAAGGCCCCGCTCTTTCTATATCTACTCCCCTCTTGCGCTAACTCTAAAAAGACACCCTGCCGACTCTGGCAGCGTCTTGACTGCTTTGGCCGCTTTTGTGCCGGGGTTTGTGCTGCTTATGTACAGTACAATACGTACCTAAGCATACTACCTACTAGGTACCTAGTAGTAGACAAGTACGCTGTAGAAGACTTTACTAGAAGTTGACCTACCGTTGACATTATGTACATTACCGCGCCACGAACTCTTAAAACCACATGTTCATTAACACGTTACACAATGGAATCGTTTATTAGGTAGCTACAGTATTGTTTGTGGAAGGCTTCATTGTGTTTTCTGCCTATTAGTAGCCTATTAGAGATGTGCTTTAGGTATAATATCATGTTGGTGTTTGGCCAAATACATAGTTACTATGATATGTAGATAGATAGTTCAATATCTTGCCTTCAATCTATAATTTCATTGGGATTGCTCCCTTTTCAATGTCTCATATTGAATCTCAACTTTGTAATTTTGCTCGTCTTTAAAAAAGACGTTTAGTAACATCTGCAGATATATACATAGTAACCCAAGTTTGCAGTGTTCTGTGACTTGGCTGCCATGATGAAATTATGTACGTTTTTTTCCTTACCACATATGTATCCTCTTGACTGGAGGTGAGCTTGAGGGTGTCTATTTAAGTAATGACACGCATAGAAACGACAATCAACCCTCTTTAAATCCCTGCTCCAAGGAAGCATGTCAGCCTCACGATTTAGAGCCACACTTGAATACCAAGTATTCTGATGTGATGTTTCGGTGATATTGAATAGAGCAACATATGATCCCTTAATATCTATTTTATATCGCAGTAGCCTACAAGTACATACCTAGGTAGGCAGATAGGCAGATGGGTCTCAACAAGTGCATGTACCGGAGATAGGGGACTCCGAATGATAAAAGTTGAAGTGCATGATGGATTGATTCGACATAAGCTTAAATTGATATCGAAGCCAGGCCTAAGCTTACCTAGGTGATCCCCTCTTTCTGGAGGTGGCGGCTTTTCCACCTCGGTAGAATGGGCTTTGAAAATCTTCGGCGTCCCCATCGTTTATCCCAACAACCAGTATGTTTGCATCTGCATCCACAGTATTCCATATTATAGTAAGAGCTGTGTAAAAAAAGATTAAAAATCTTCTGTTAGTCACATATGTCATATCATAGACATGTATTAATGGATCTATGTTCAGTCAATCAGTTACATATAGTATCAATTTGGTAGTTATATTCAAAGCCAATTACTAATTATACTATGTATGTACAGATGTTGTACTAAGTAGATGCCTACTACATATGTAGGTAACTTGGAAGTATATCTGAGATTTCTGATTCACTTCAAATGCCATAGGAATGAAGCATATTGCTAAATTTCACTGTCGCTAAAAGATTTAAAATACCATGCATAGCAAGCCTACATATGTATTGTACATAAAAAAAAACACGGTACATAATGTAGGTACTACGCCGTAACTCTCACTTGGATCATTCATTATTTCAATTGGTGTTGCATAACCACAGTATACGGCCCCACTTGTTCCCTTTTCTATCATAAACTAATAGTTACCAACAGACTGTGCCAGCAGCCATTCAACCATTGCCATTCGCACCTGCCCACCAAGGTGCAATACAAAGTCATCCAGGTATTACCTCATTGGTGGGGACCATTGAACCATTTGGGTACATCCAGGATCATCTAGGGGACGAGTCAGGCGCTGAAACTGTGTGTGTACTTAATAACTACAGTAACCTTACATAATAGTTAATCCATAACTTTTCAAGAAACATCATTGATTGATTCATAACTGCCATTTAACACAATCCATCTTCATTGTTTGGTTCTTTCTACCTAACCACATCAGGCTGGGCAATTTACAGGCATCCTGATTCCTGACACTGGACACTGGACACTGGACAGGCATTCTCAAAAGAGTACATACTTGAACATTCCCTTTGGCACCTTTGGCACCTTTGGCACCAGACGAGTTGACCGTTTCAGCCTTCAAGTATTATTTGGTACTTTGTCTGCCGATCGGAGTCCAACGCATAAAACAACCATTTTCTTCCCTTATTCAATTTCCCAACCTTGAAGTCTCTCTTTTAAATCCTTCGTTTCTCATTGATTGGGAGTCATTGGTTCGGTGGCGGTTTAATCTAAACACTTTTCCGACTTCGAGTTCGAGGACACACGAGTGACACCATCTTGTCGCACTGAGTACCCGCCATCGTACCCGCCATCGTACCCAGAACGCAATTTACAAATTTCCAACAAACCCAAATCTACACTTTACGATGTCTATGTCGAGACTGGGAGGTGGTGCTAAGCACCGTCTCATGTCGGAGATGCAGGAACTCTCCAAGGAGAAATGGGTGAACATCGACGTAAGTCTTATGCTATCTATATTCAGCTATCTCACCAAGTCCTAAACTGACTCACTTGAAGTTGGTCAACGGTAACATCCTTCGCTGGCGGCTCGGACTCATTGTCCTCAATAACGACAGTGCCTTCAATGGAGGCTACTTTAAGGTGAGTGCCGATGGAAACTACTGACCCTAGCTTTAGACCGCCACTTACAAGATTCCGTACAACAGGCTGAGATGACTTTCACCGACGAATATCCCTACCAACCCCCGACTTTCCGATTCCTAATTCCTATCCATCACCCGAATATATATCCTGATGGCAGACTATGCATCTCTATTCTCCATACTCCAGGTGAGGATCTTACCTCGGGAGAGCAGGCCAGTGAGCGCTGGTCGCCTTTGCAAGGTGTGGAATCGGTCCTCCGATCCGTCCTCCTGCTCTTAGATGACCCGGAGATTAACTCTCCCGCAAATGTGGATGCCGGTGTGATGTATCGGGACCATCGGGCCCTTTACAACGAAAAGGCCAAAGAAATCGTGGAAAAGTCCAAGAACGACATTCCAGCTGACTTTGTCATGCCAACCACTCTTGAGCCCCCGGCCCCGCCAAAATCTGCGGACGATGACGCTGCATTCTGGGCTGAAAGCGACGAGGAGCTCGACTTTGGAGGCAGTGATACTGGTGACGACGAAGAGGTGGAATTTGATGAAGATGGTGAGGATGAAGATGGCGAGGACGAAGATGAGGACGGAGAAGATGAAGGCGCAAGCGACGAAAACAGCAACTAGACGCGCTTTCGTGGATACCTACCTAGGTGCCTAGGTAGATACCTAAGTAGGTAGATAGGGACCTAATACTTGACGCACGCCAGTCGACAACAGGAAGGGCTGTTGGCTTCGGCGAAGCATTTCCTTTATTTTCCATTTGCATAGCGGGGGTAAGGCGTTTCCGCGGATTTCTTGCACCTCAGCAATAACTACATACTGTTCAGCTCAATTTTTTTCGTGGTTTTGGATTACACAGGGCCTGCTTCCGTTTTGTGTTACCCCATTGTTTTTCTATAGAGAAACTGTTTTTTTTCTTCTGAGGTGTCTGGCGCCAGAAGGTGGTCCTAGCTATTACATTATCATCGAGTCGTTCGTGGCAGATCTATTTGAGACCTGCTTTCCACGGCGTGTGTTCATAGATGGATGGGAAAGCAGTCGGAATTAAACCTCGAGCGCATATAACAATGTCATTTTGTCTGCTGAATTGGCAAGTAACGTGACTGAAGTCTGATATTCCTGAGTGGCTGATTTGCATGTTGTGTGGTGAGATATGCCATTGGTGAATGATGATATATATATATACGTAGGTAACTAACTCTTTTCCAGTTATATAATATAAGAAAGACTTTGTATAACCCTCTATTATTTACTTACATATGCCGCGCTACAAAGATCTAAGGGCGATTAGGTTGGCCCCTGATCCTGTTGGCCGGTACTAGGTATAGAAGAATGAGTGCAGAAGAGTAGGTACGTACATGTATATATAGTACCTAGGTTAGTATATTCATGCTATTACGATAAAGCGATGAAATATGGTAACTGTTATTAAGCCTACCTATTCTTGTTCCTAAGAATGCTGTCCGGCTCGAGCATTCTGGGTTCTCAGATGGTTGCCTCCTTATGTCGAGCATTACTATCAATTCAAATTACGTGAGCGTTGAGTATTATTGGCATGGGGTGAAAGGATATAAGGGGCATGATCAACGAAATGAGGGTTTAGAATGGAGGAGGCCTTTTATTACATAGGGTTCGAGACAGGTCCATCACATTAATCTTGGCGTGATTTGGTAGTTAATGAAGTTACTAATATAAATTATTTGATCTTTTATCTAGATACATATGTAACTTTCATATAAATAAGATACTTGAATAGAGACAATAACTATTGAGCATTGAATAGTTTAACATGTGCAACCCCTCTACATAGAAATGTCCCCACCAACATTGAGAGCCTTAAGTGGGGGGTTATTGGATCTACGGATGTGGGGTAGGAGATTCGCTGGTAACATCATTAGTTCTACCTTATGTACACGCCATTAGGTTATGTACCTAATGATAGATGCAACAATGAGTAGTTACAGTCATATGTACTAGGTACTACCCTAGGTACATCATTGTATGCACTTGGCAGACAACATTGAACCTGGGAAACAGACAAGGTTGGCCCAAAGTTGGAACATTTGAAGTAGGAAAGCGGCATCCCACCTTATTAGCTAAGCCTTAAAGCTTCCAGTCCCAGTGAAAAAAAAGGGCTTCCCGCTCAAAAATCACAAGCAACGTCGACGATTCTGCGTTACCTAACTTTTAGGACTGTTTGTTGTATGAAATATACACCTACCTACCTACGTAGGTAGGTATCCTTCTTGTTTTTATTTTCATCCGCTGTTGTCTTCCTTTGCTGCCTGAGGCACCTCAAACATAGAGATTGGTTCCTGCAACATCGCTTTACGGTACCCTTACATACATCCAGTAGCTCTTCTATTGTTGCCTTCCAGCTTGTCTTTTACGCCACTTCCTACATCACGATTTTACGAAAACAAAAAACGAACCGCCTCAAGCTTCGAGCTTCCATGCTTCACCGATAAATATTCAAAAATCTTTACATCACAGGGGTTCGTGTACGTACGTCTTCAAGATGGCGACCTCAAATAACCCTACAGAAGATGCCATAACTATGTTTTGTGACATCACTGGGCTATCTTGGGACGAAGCTATCACGCGGTTGAAGGTACTTGATGCGATATACTTGAATGCGATCAACACATTACCCATTTACGAGTTCTGTTGATGCTATATCCAATGCTAATATAAGTGACTGGTGTTCATGTAGGCGAATAACAACGACCTCCAACGAGCCATCGAGGAGCACCTCGAAGATCCCACCAGCCAGAAGGTATCTAATTACCCTACCTCTTACTCATCGTTATTTGCTTGTTAATTCCACCAAAGTATAAATGGGACGAGTCGCAGTTTAGCACGGATCGCCATGGCGAGTCCAATGATCCAGGGATATGTATGTATGATTAGTTTCTGGTATGGCCTTGCTTTGCTAAAGTCTGTTGGTAGCTTTCAATATTCAAGGCCCCGACGAGCTTCCGCCTCATAACTACTCGAACAATGCTGCACCAACGAGACCACCGTCACGAGCCAATAACCCTTCACCTTTTGGTAAGAAGATAAAATTAGACTACAGACCAGGCCGCAGGTATTACTCCTGTGTTCACTTGGTATTGGAGCTGATAGATACCCTATAGGTGCACCAGCCAATGCTGCAGAAGAGGATGCCAACCTGGAGCGAGCGTTAGCCGAATCTGCCGCCCAGTCTGGAATTCAACTCCAAGAGTCTGGTATTGTCGATAACGAAACGAACCTTACATACTTTGGTCCAGCAAATCGGCCCGACTACGAGACGGAACAATGGGCTATGATCCCTACTAAAGCAACCGCTGATCCTGTAAAGGCTGAGCCGAATCCATCCGCTAGAAAACGTGATGATGAAGCTCCTTCGTTTCTCCGACAGACCAGAGACCACCGAGTCGGCTATTTGTTGTCCATTCTCCACAAGATACCGCTCGTTAGAAACGTCCTTGTCCAATGCGGACAGCCAGCGAAAAACTATGGGCACAATACGGAATGGTGGAAGGGTCAACCGATTCTAAAACATGAGCACCTGGCTGCAATGGCGAGAGGAGAGACAATTTGGGGCGATGACGCACATCCCGAGTTTACAGAGGAGCTTCATCGTCTGATGGCATTCCTCGACCAAACAGAACGAAGTTACGGAACTGCCGATGGACTTATCGATACTAAGGCAATCGACCCGAGCTTTGGAACCTGGCTCCCTGATGTTGAAGAACGACTTTTCGAGGCACTAAAGGACGAAGTTAAGAACAATCCAGCCTGCGATATTGGCCCCCTAACAAGCGTTGGCACGATATTGCCGTGCGCATCGCCACAGGGTGAATCGCCTCAGCCAGAAGGTGATGACGACAACTTTCTGGATGATGAGCGGGACTCGCCGTTTGTGTTTCTAGATGTGCAACTAGACTATGAACAATACGGCTGGGTAAACACCTTTTACGACGCTATCGACCATTTGCTCTGGACACATGCGTTAACACTTGATCACACTTTCCCAGAAGATGCTAGCTATGCTGTTTTGACTAAAGCTGCAGAGGTCTTGACGGTTCGGCTGAGCGGTACCGGCTTAGTAAAGCCCTGTGAGATACCGGCCGTGTTTTACGCGGATCGCTACTTGAGGGAACGAAAAGAGTTGGCTTTGAAGTTGCAGACTCATATGCGTCATATCAAGAAACAATTGCGGTTGTATGACTTACTCAGGGCGGACCGAATACGATGCCATGGCCAACGCTGTCATATTGTAAATGGACTTGCGAATGGCCCACATGACCTCTTTTCTTGCCTGAAGGGAATGATCCGGTATGCCGAAGAATTAATAAGACGCCAAACCAGGACTGCACAGTGGCGCCATTATTATGAGGGAATAGAAAAGGACATCGAACTTAGTCTCGACGATCTTCTTGACATTCACACTTGGAGCGGCCCCTACACATTCCTTCCCCAAGAGGAGGAGGCGATAAAAACATGGCAAGCCATCGTAGGTGATTGCCACGACAAACTCAATGAATTGGAGAAAGACTTGGCCGGTAAGCTATTGCATAAAATCCCTTGTTTCGATAAATTCCGTTCATTCTAATAGTATGGTAGAGTTTGACGATGCTAAGGAGACATACTACCATTCTATGAAGGTTATTACCAAACGTTTAACATGCCAGGAACACGAAGTTGATGACGATGAATTCGTGTTTCGTTCAACTCCTGCGTACCATCCAGAGTATTGGAACCCTACTCATAAATACTCCCTGAGAGGTGTTGCGCTCACAAATGAATTGGCGTATGTTTGTGTCCGGCGAGGCGCCAATTCGACGGACACTGAAGGAGTGTCCGAGCCCGAAGATCAATGGTGGAAAATTGGGTTCACCTCCGGTGGTGCTTCTCCGGCCAAACCCGAGGTTTGTATACGCGAAGAACCGTAGCTTACCTTCCGACTAACAGGTATTACAGAAAGCAATTCTAGAAGACGTGCTCCATGCGGCTGGGACTGAGTCTAAGTTCCCCATCCTCGTCTATGCTTCTGAGGCTGCTATGGAGACCAACCCTCTACCATTATCAGATGCTTTGCGGGTAAGCCACTTATTCATTCCGATTATATCTGTACTGACACCTTGGTACGTAGATGTTTGTGCGAGCCGACAATCGATCGTTTCAGCAGGAGCTGGCGAAAGAACAGACCGAAGGCCCAAATCAGGCCCAAAATCAAGATCAGCCATCCCAGATCAACTTAACTGCGCCATCAGGTCTAACGGGTGAAAATCTCGCTCATATCCCAGGCTCTGAGTATTGCAATCGAAGACATGGCAATTCGTCAGTGGCAACTCATGCCAGCTCCCGTGACGGCTTAAGCGATGTTAATCTGGCTTTCAATGAGCACGATGAATTTCACAGCTATCAGCCATCAAGTGGATCTGCCAGTGAATACGTTCATAGCGACATCCTTTCTAATAATAATGATGACTCCGCTATTGGCGTAGGACTATGGAGCACGAAGCAACAGGAACCAGGATTGGAAAATTCTTCTTGGGAAAAGAAGCCCGACGTTGATCATGGCAGCATGGAAGAGACGCAGACTTTGGACGTCGGCACACCCTCATCTAAACCGCCCGAGATGCAGGAACTCGCTACTGGTTCTACACCATTTCTGATTCGTCCCAGCAATATTGCCTCTCAGAGTAGTATTGGTGACATGATGGATGTAGACTTGGATGCAGAACATCACGAAGGATAATCAAACCGATAAATGAATGGACGCATTCCCAGATGAGTACAGTCTGAATCCTACCTAGGTTATGAATTATTGAGTTATGAGATAGTAAGGTGTGCATGGCTAAGGATAAGGATATTCCACGGAAGGCATTGGTCGAGCAGGCTGGTTGGGGTTTCGATTACAGAGAAGGGTATGGTGTATATGATACGCATTACCTTAAATGCGTAACTTGCTTTTTTTTGAGGTTGCGAGGTTGAGGTTTATGGCCTTTGCCTCTAGCCTCTACGAATCATATGTCCTTCCAGAGGCCGTGTATAATAAGTAGTAGCATCGATGGACTTTTCATGATACCCCCAAGGTCAGAAAATAAAACCAATACGAAACCAACACGAATGAAAGATGAGTCTGCCTACTAGGGTAGATAAATAACCTATATACCAAGTACTATCTATATGTATGCAAGCAATAGTTCGTTGTGTTACGGATCCTACAAGTTGGAAAAGGGGTTGAAGACCTATATGTACTATGTATTGTACCTTAAGAAGAATATTTATACATATCTTGGCAGATTAAAAGAACGCCAACATCAATGATTGTATCAACTTGTATTCAAACCATGTGCCTGATAAGTTTAAGCATCTATACCAGATTCCGATATATTGCTCGATCAATGTAGATTAAATGTATTGACTGGAAGCATGTTTACCTAGTATTCTCACTTCGAAACGGAGTGTCGCGCCCCACAAGTTGGCTGCAAAACAATATAAACTTTACGAAAAAAAATTTAAAATACCCGGCAAATTGCAAGCAATTTAAATTAGTAAAACTTTACTAATTTGATATCTGGAAAATCGTCGCTCCGCAACAATTTTGATTTTAAGTACTATTCATTTATTAAAAATTTTTTTTTTTTTTTTTAAATACTAAACATTTAATCATGCCTCCGGCGGCTCCTGCGGAGTGCTGCTCGCTCCGCTCGAAAAGAAGAAAAACAGGTTTAAATCACCCAATGGTTTAACCCAATTAAAAGCCAGGCATTGGCCAGTTTGGGTGGGCACTTTCTTTCACGTAAGGCAATAGTTACATAACAATCACGTGACGGTAAGTTCCTTTCACATCAGACACCGATTACATAATACTCACGCGAGTGACGACGGGATCCTTTGGCATGGATTACGTGGTACTCACGTGACGGTCGGAATACCGGCGTAATGGACGGACCGGACTCACACGTGAAAAGAGTAAATTATACATACCTCCAGGCCACATGATATTGTTGAGAATACCAAGTGGCCCCATCTACTAAGCCTAGATCAACCCATGCGCCGGGACTTACTGGTATTAGGGCTGGAATCGGCTCGGCCGGATGGGGAGAAATTGTCGGATTGGGGGGATTTATCGGAGTATGGGAGGGAGGTTCGGAGGAAAGCCGGTTGTCGGAGGCCGGCTGTATTTGGGAACCGCTTGCGGCGATGGGACTGCCCCAGGGGGGATTTACGGCTGATGGTACATGTTAGCGTCAGGGATAAACCCTCCAGGAAGCTCCGAAAGCTCTCCTGGAGCAGGTCACGGCAGCGGCGGCGGCAGCGCAGCATTCCGGGGCCGGCCGACCCGCCTCGGAATGGGTGTATCAGCCATTAATTGAATAGATCAACTGGGTTGGGGCTGTGTGGCTCTTGAAAAGCTCTTGAAAAGCTCTTGAAAAGCTCTTGAAAGCCCTTGAAACCTGAAAAGTGGTTGAAAGGAGGAAGAAAAGGATTACAACAGCTTGGGGGTTGAGAGCCCTTATATAGACCGGTCTAGAGCACGCTCCATCAGTACGTACCCCAACCATCCAAGGCAAACAGTCAGGCAAACTAAGCGCTAGTAAGCCTATTGAAATTGAAGCCATCCTGTTGGCTCAAATCTGGACCTATTGAGCCGCTAGTAAAAAGTGAAACGTTTGGAGCCAACTTTTCAAGCTGTTGATTGATTGATTGGGTGCATCGCTTTTCAGCCCCCAAATCCAGCAAACCACCTTCCACACCACCTTCAACACCACCATGTAAATCAATTATTTCAAATATTTCTTGAAGTATTTGATTTAGGTAGTGGTGTTGAAGATGATTAATAAGATGGATTAAATGGATCAAATGGATCAAATGGATCAAATGGATTAAATGGATTGAATGGAAAAAAGTTGAAAAGAAGAAGTTGGAATGGAAGAATTAGAAAAGATGGATTGGATTAGTCAGCTTTGATTATTAAGAATGGAACTGAATGGATGGAATTGAATGGAAAGTGGCTGATTTAAGGCTGTGGAGGCTGAGCTTATCTTATCAATGGAATTAAATAGAAAGTGGCTGAATTGAGGCTGTGGAGGCTCAGCTCCTTATCTTATCAGTTTCTGCGGGAAACAAAGTCCGAGCTTGAAATTTTCACTTATAGGCACGGCTCCATTACACGATTTTATTAAGTAAAACTTTACATTTAACTCGTCCCTCCTTAGTAAAGTTTTACTAATAACACGTATTTTTTTTATAATATAATCTATGATATCTTAATTAATTTAATTCGCAAAAATGTCAAATTAATCTTATATTAAATATCTTTATTATGTGTAATATAATTATATTTTTTTATAGAAAATATAATCGATAAAAGCACTTTAACGTTAAAAAAACGATTTAAATCGACACTTAAATTAATACTTTATAACACGCGTTTTTTCGCATTATAATCCACGATATCTTAACTAATTAATTTCGCAAAATTATAAATATACCTTAAAAAAAAATATAATTATTATGTAAATATTTTAATATAAAATAAACTTATTTAAACATTTTATTAAACGTTATTTTATTATTATTTAACGTTAAAACTTAAAAATTATAATAATAACCGAAAATTAATTAAATTAATAATTAATTAACCGGTTTAATTATAATGTTTAAACCATTTAACGATATAAGAAAAAAATAAAAGTTATTAATAATTTATTAAATTTTAAATAATTTAATTTACGATATAACGCTTTTTAATTATTATTATAAGCGTTAAAAATATATTTATATATTATATTAATTTATTATATTTTAATAACTTAATTAATTAGATATTTAATAAAAATTAATTAAAGAGTTAACGTATTATTTCGATTTATATCTTAATAAAATATAATAATTCCTTATTAAAACTTACGATATATATATTATTAAATTTATAATTTATAAATATTTAAAATAAATAAATTATACTTATAAAATAATATAAATTAACGCTATTTAAAAAAATAAAAGGTAATAAGCCTTTTATTTATATTAAATTAATGGTGGTTATATGATAAGGGTACGTACTAATGTAGTACATATATAGCTAAAGGAGGTACTTATATAACTTAAATTATATAAAGGGTTAAATCTCCTTTTTACTTTTAAATTTAAACTTTTTTCTTTAAATATTAATATTATACTAATTTTACTTTATTATTTTTACTTTATTTGTTATTTAATTTATTATATATACGTATTTATTAATATTAATTAATATTATTAAACTATTAATAACATAAATTAATAAAGTTAGAAAAGTTATTATTGTGACAATTTAAAAGATTTTATTATAATAATATAAGCGATATTAATAATTATTTTTCTAACGTTTATATTTTATTTATAATAAAATATAATTTTGCCTTATTTAACCGTTTTAGATTTTTATCGTTATATAATAATACCGATTTATATTTTTCTTTTTTTTTAAATTTGCCTACATTAATTATTATTACAATGGTTATTTTAAAAAGATCGGTATTATTTTCGGTGCCTTAGTTATAATTTAAAGGTTATAATATCGATATTAATTTTATTATTTAAAAAGATATGAACGAGTTATATAAGTTATTAAATTTTATTCTTAACAAAATAATATTATTAAAGTAATAATTTACTTTAAAGGTTATTAAGTAAAACGAAATATTATTATTTGCTACTTAGGAGTAGAAGAATATTTAGGTATTATTAGCTTTTACTAATTTCGAAATAACCGATAAAAATGCCAACTACGTTTGCATAACAGAAGAAATATTTAAAAAATATAAAAGATATTTCGACATATTCTATTTAAATGATTTTAGTGGAATGTTAAGGGTGTTACGAACGGCGTTACGAAATGTATTTATGTAATGAGGGATTTATATGGGTAAAAGTAACGATAATTACGTGGAAAGGTTGGTTAATTTAGTAAATATATAAAGGTTATTATATTAACATTCCTAAAATCTAATATAAGCTTAGATAAAATAGCTTAATACGTTAATTTAAAAGGTATTTATGTATTAAACGAAATTAAGTCCGGTTATTTTTAAAGTATAGCAGTTAAGGTAATCGTTGGTACAAACATTATAAACGTCTTAAAATCCTGCTTAATTTATTATTTTTATTGCATTTTTCTTTATTTTAAGAAAACGACCGTTTTTAAACTTGCTACTTTTTTTATTTTAATTTCCTCGTGATTTTAACAACTTCTTTTTAAGGTTTTATTTATTTTTTTCCTTTTTTAGCTAATTATAGAATCTAGTTTTATAATTATTAAATCTTATTTAACGAATAGGTGATGGTTTATTTCCTTTTATTTAAGCATTTATTAGGGCTGGATTTTTTAATTTATTTTAACCATTTCCGTAATTTTAAAGATTAGTATTATTTTTAATATCTTTTTTATAGCCGTTAAATCTTAAAAATCTTTTATTTAAGTTTTTATATAATAACATTTTATAGCAAAAATTTGGTTAAAGTGATTAAGAAAGGTAGTTATAAGGTAGTTAAGTGGCTTTAGGAAATGGTATAAGACTTTTTAAACCGTTATTAAAAAATCCGTTTATATTTTTAACATTATTTTTAAAATTTATACTAAGAGGAGTAAATTATTTTGGTAGAAACTTAAGTTTTTCCTTTTAAACGATACTATTATTTTTATCGATATTTAATTAATAATGGCAAGTATAAATGCTTATCGATAATTAAAAAAACATTATTTATTATAATATTTCTTTTATACGAATTTTTAATAAAATATATTTACCAATTATTATTAGCCATTTTAAAAAAACCTAAAATAATAAAAATAATTATACAGGTAAGTTATATGATATTTTCGAAAATAAGTTTCGATTTTTCCTTAATATTTATTATATGGTAAAAATATAATAAACGTAATTTTATGTTATATTTTTTATAATTTTTATAAAAAGGGTAACCTTATATTTTTTTTATAATATCTTATATTATTAGATTTTTACGGATATGTATTTAATTATAAAACAACATTTTAATATTAAATAAAATAAGATCTAGTATTATTATAATTAAATTATAACAACGTTTTTTAATGTTAAAAATAACAAAAAAAATGTAGGGAAAAATAACTTAAAAATGTTATAAGTTTTTTTCGATAAGCTTTTTTTATATTAACAAACGTTTAACCCTAAATTTAAAAAAAAATAATAATTTATTATATTTATTTA